TATGCTCAAAAATGAAAGATATTAGTCTTAGGAAGTAATTTTTAGCATTTTAAGACACTTTTTGAACAGTTGAAAAATGTCGTCAAAATTGACCAAAATGGTAAGGGGTAAGCCTTACCATTTCGGTCAATTTTGACGAAGTTTTCAATGTTCGAAAAACCAACCAAATATGTTCTAAAATGAAAGATATTAGTCTTAGGAAGCCATTTTTAGCATTTTAGGACACTTTTTGAACAGTTGAAAAAGTCATCAAAATTGACCAAAATGGTAAGGGTTACCTCTTACCATTTTGGTCAATTTTGACGATTTTTCAACGTTCCAAAAACTAATCAAATATGCTCTAAAATGAAAGATATTAGTCTTAGGAAACAATTTTTACTAATTTAAGACACTTTTTGAACAGTTGAAAAAGTCGTCAAAATTGACCAAAATGGTAAGGGGTTAGGCTTACCATTTTGGTCAAAATTGACAACTTTTTCAATGTTCCAAAAAGCAACCAAATATGCTCTAAAATGAAAGATATTAGTGTTAGGAAGCAATTTTTAGCATTTTAAGACACTTTTTGAACAGTTGAAAAAGTCGTCAAAATTGACCAAAATGGTAAGGGGTATAAGCCTTACCATTTTGGTCAAAATTGACGACTTTTTCAATGTTCCAAAAACCAACCAAATATGCTCTAAAATGAAAGATTTTAGTCTTAGGAAACAATTTTTAGCAATTTAAGACACTTTTTGAACAGTTGAAAAAGTCGTCAAATTCACCAAAATGGTAAGGGGTAAGCCTTACCATTTTGGTCAAAATTGACGACTTTTTCAATGTTCCAAAAACCAACCAAATATGCTCTAAAATAAAAGATATTAGTCTTAGGAAGTAATATTTAGCATTTTAAAACACTTTTTCAACACTTGAAAAAGTCGTCAAAATTGACCAAAATAGTAAGGGGTAAGGCTTACCTCTTGTGTCAAAATTGACGATTTTTCAATGTTCCAAAAACCAACAAAATATGCTCTAAAATGAAAGATATTAGTCTTAGGAAAATTTTTTTAGCAATTTAACACACTTTTTGAACAGTTGAAAAAGTCGTCAAAATTGACCAAAATGGTAAGGGGTATAAGCCTTACCATTTTGGTCAAAATTGACGACTTTTTCAATGTTCCAAAAACCAACCAAATATGCTCTAAAATGAAAGATATTAGTCTTAGGAAGTAATTTTTACCATTTTAAGACACTTTTTGAACAGTTGAAAAATGTCGTCAAAATTGACCAAAATGGTAAGGGGTAAGCCTTACCATTTCGGTCAATTTTTACGAAGTTTTCAATGTTCGAAAAACCAACCAAATATGCTCTAAAATGAAAGATATTAGTCTTAGGAAGCCATTTTTAGCATTTTAGGACACTTTTTGAACAGTTGAAAAAGTCGTTAAAATTGACCAAAATGGTAAGGGTTACCTCTTACCATTTTGGTCAATTTTGACGATTTTTCAACGTTCCAAAAACTAATCAAATATGCTCTAAAATGAAAGATATTAGTCTTAGGAAACAATTTTTACCAATTTAAGACACTTTTTGAACAGTTGAAAAAGTCGTCAAAATTGACCAAAGTGGTAAGGGGTTAGGCTTACCATTTTGGTCAAAATTGACAACTTTTTCAATGTTCCAAAAAGCAACCAAATATGCTCTAAAATGAAAGATATTAGTGTTAGGAAGCAATTTTTAGCATTTTAAGACACTTTTTGAACAGTTGAAAAAGTCGTCAAAATTGACCAAAATGGTAAGGGGTATAAGCCTTACCATTTTGGTCAAAATTGACGACTTTTTCAATGTTCCAAAAACCAACCAAATATGCTCTAAAATGAAAGATATTAGTCTTAGGAAGTAATTTTTAGCATTTTAAGACACTTTTTGAACAGTTGAAAAATGTCGTCAAAATTGACCAAAATGGTAAGGGGTAAGCCTTACCATTTCGGTCAATTTTGACGAATTTTTCAATGTTCGAGAAACCAACCAAATATGCTCTAAAATGAAAGATATTAGTCTTAGGAAGCCATTTTTAGCATTTTAGGACACTTTTTGAACAATTGAAAAAGTCGTCAAAATTGACCAAAATAGTAAGGGGTAAGCGTTACCAATTTGGTCAAAATTGACGACTTTTTCAATGTTCCAAAAACCAACCAAATATGCTCTAAAATGAGAGATATTAGTCTTACAAAGCCATTTTTAGCATTTTAAGACACTTTTTGAAAAGTTCAAAATGTCGTCAAAATTGACCAAAAAAGTAAGGGGTAAGCCTTACCATTTTGGTCAAAATTGACGACTTCTTCAATGTTCAAAAAACCAATCAAATATGCTCTAAAATGAAAGATATTAGTGTTAGAAGGCAATTTTTAACATTTTAAGACAGTTTTTGAACAATTGAAAACGTCGTCAAAATTGACCAAAATGGGAAGCGGTAAGGCTTACCATTTTGGTCAAAATTGACGACCTTTTCAATGTTCCAAAAAGCAACCAATTATGCTCTAAAATGAAAGATAATGGCCTTAGGAAGCAATTTTTAGCATTTTCAAACAGTTTTTGAACAGTTAAAAAAGTCGTCAAAATTGACCAAAATGGTAAGGGGTAAGCTTAAGGCAGTATGGTGTTTGATCATTGATTATGGAGCACTTCCGACTGGAATTTTGGAGTATTTTCAATTGTGAGTTAAAGGCAAGATGCTAACATTTTTCATGAGCAAGCAGTTTGAACTTCTTTGGAACGATGCAGGTGTTATTCATCATGGGTTATGGAGCTCTTAGCCTTACCATTTTGGTCAAAAGCCTTACCATTTTGGTCAAAATTGACGACTTCTTCAATGTTCCAAAAACCATTCAAATATGCTCTAAAATGAAAGATATTCGTCTTAAAAAGCCATTTTTAACATTTTAAGACAGTTTTTGAACAATTGAAAAAGTCGTTAAAATTGACCAAAATGGTAAGGGGTAAGCTTTAGGCAGTATGGTGTTTGATCATTGATTATGGAGCACTTCCGACTGGAATTTTGGAGTAATTTCAATTGTGAGTTAAAGACAAGATGCAAATATTTTTCCAGAGCAAGCAGTTTGAACTTCTTTGGAACGATGCAGACGTTATTCATCATAGGTTATGGAGCTCTTGCGACATGAATTTTGGTGTATTTTCGATTGACAAAGAAAGGCAGTATGGTACCCCTTACCACATTGGTCAAAAACTGTCTTAAAGTGCCAAAAATGGTTTTGTAAGACTAATATCTTTCATTTTAGAGCATATTTGGGTGGTTTTAGGAACACTGAAAAAGTCGTCAATTTTAACCAGAATGGTAAAACTTACCCCTTATCATTTTGGTCGATTTTGACGACTTTTTAAACTGCTCAAAAACTGACTTAAAATGCTAAAAATGGCTTTGTAATACTAACAGCTTTTATTTTAGATAATATTTGGTTGGCTTTTCGAACATTGAAAAAATCGTCAATTTTGGCCAAAATAGTAAGGGGTAAGCTTTACTAAATTCCTGTCGGAAGAGCTCCATAACTCGAGATAAATACCGTCTGTATCGTTCCAAAGATGCTCAAATTGCTTGCTTTTGAAAAATGTTTGCATCTTGTTGCCTTTAACTAACAATTGAAAATACTCCAAAATTCCTGTCATCCGATCTTGGTTAAGTATACTATTTTTTGGTTTATTCGATCGTGGTTGAATAAACCATTTTTTGGTACATTCGATCGTGGTTGAATATACCATTTTTTGGTATATTCGATCGTGGTTGAATATACGATTTTTTGGTACATTCGATCGTGGTTAAATATACCATTTTTTGGTACATTCGATCGTGGTTGAATATACCATTTTTGGTATATTCGATCGTGGTTGAATATACGATTTTTTGGTACATTCGATCGTGGTTAAATATACCATTTTTTGGTACATTCGATCGTGGTTGAATAAACCATTTTTTTGTACATTCGATCGTGGTTGAATATACCATTTTTTGGTATATTCGATCGTGGTTGAATATACGATTTTTTGGTACATTCGATCGTGGTTAAATATACCATTTTTTGGTACATTCGATCGTGGTTGAATATACCATTTTTTGGTACATTCGATCGTGGTTGAATATACCATTTTTTGGTACATTCGATCGTGGTTGAATATATTATTTTTTGGTACATTCGATCGTGGTTGAATATACCATTTTTTGGTACATTCGATCGTGGTTGAATATACCATTTTTTTCTACATTCCATCGTGGTTGAATATACCATTTTTTGGTACATTCGATCGTGGTTGAATATACCATTTTTTGGTACACTTCGATCGTGGTTGAATATACCATTTCTTGGTACATTCGATCGTGGTTGAATATACCATTTTTTGGTACATTCGATCGTGGTTGAATATACCATTTTTGGTACATTCGATCGTGGTTCAATATACCATTTTTGGTACAGTCGATCGTGGTTGAATATACCATTTTTTGGTACATTCGATCGTGGTTGAATATACCATTTTTTTTTTGTTTATTCGATCGTAGCGTACACCACGTACTCCTTTGAGGTCGGCATCTTGATTTTTTAATCAGTCGAGAGCCCGCGTTGATTAGCCGACTACTTAATGTTACATGCTTTATTGTTACATGCTTGAAACCAGAGATCCAACTTGGAAAAATATTGATTTACTTGCACAAATTCTTAACAAATTCCATTATTTGTTTTATCAACGCATTAATTGAATCTCTAACTGTCAATAATATTACATTAAAAATTATTTATATCAGCCATGTTTTTTTGTACCAATTCTATATTTGTTGCAATCAAAGTTGTTGCTGAAACTATTAATTATTTGTTCCTAATAATGGATTTGTGCTCCCTTCGGAGAACAATCTTGTGGGAGTGGTACCAGGAATGTGCCCTGGGTGACTGTGGAAGCATAGGAATGTACGCGATACAAACTGGAGTAAGAGTTATTGATGGCATGTGGAGCATTATGACCACTAAAGGCCTGTTCACACGATCCAATGTCGGACTATCCACACACTGTATACAGATCAGTGACTGGAAAAGACGTGAAATCCAAGATGGCCGACGGTTCACAACAACAACAACAAGGAGAAAGCGGTTGGATTCCTGCTACAAAAAGACCGGACGGTACTTGGAGGAAAGCTAGAAGAGTAAAAGAAGGTTACATCCCTCCGGATGAAGTAGAGAAATACGAAAGCAAGGGTACAAAGTGGACGAAAAACCAATGCAACGTTCCGCCAGGAGCGAGCGTGGACAGTGCGATTCCGCCACAGAAATTGAGTAAAAATCAAAAGAAAAATGAACGGAAAAAAGCGAAAAGGAAAGAGAAGCAAGAAAGTGAGAGGAATTCTAGTGCAGTTGAAGAAGTTACCACTGAACTGTCTATGTATGTATCATTAAATACAACCCAAATAGTAATACTGAACTGTCTGAACATATATATCTTGTTAAGATTTACAATAAAATTTAAATAACTAGTGTCATTTATTAATGACTTCACCGTTTCGAATCAATGCATGATAATGACATTTATTTCTTCTTAGTGCATCGATCACAGAAACTAATGCAGATTTGGAGAGTGAAGCAGCAGCAAAGAAAGCTAAGAACTTAAAAAAGAAACTTCGCCAAATTGATGAGCTTCAAGCAAAAGTCAACAGTGGGGAAATGAAAGATATAACTGCTGAACAAAATGAAAAATTAGCAAGAAAGGAAGCGCTTGAACAAGAGCTTGAGGAATTAGAAGAAAAAATGATATAGGATCTACATTTTAAACAGAATTTTTCAATCTACTATAAATCCATATTGCTTATTGCTTTCAAATCCATTCAAACCTGCCATTTTGTCCAAAGATTTTCTTTTATTGTATTTTCCAAAGATCTACTTTGCTCAAGTTTTTGCTACCAAGAGAGAGAGAGAAAAATGAGATAATTAATCCTTTAAGCTACCTTAAAGCAGGCTTAAAGTGATCTGATGTTGTACAGAAATCATGTTGGTATAGTTAGGCATGTTCAAAGACCATGCAGAGATTGTACATGTTTATTAATGTGAGCTAGCTTTAAGTGATCTGATCTTGTACAAAACTCATATGAGTAGACCTCTCACAAATCTCACCTGTGTTCCCTCTCAGTTGACAGAGTTAAGCATGGTTATATCATGATTATTCTTCCACTGTGAGTCGACTCTTGGACAAACAAAGCATGGGAAAACCAGGAAAGAAAAACTCCAGTAAATCTGTCTGATACAATTACCATCTCTTCTGTTATCACCTCTTCTCATTTCTCTCTTTCAAATCATAAAAAAGACAGAATTGTTCAGGAAACACCCATTGATTGTAGATAGCAACGATTTAAAAATCACACGCTTGAAAAATTACACTCGTATGTCTTTTTCAAATAAATATATTATTGCTCTTCTGCACACCGTATTTCTCAACCACCAAATGGAAACTCATCAGTGATTATTGTCATCATTCATGTCATAGCGTAGGGTTAGACATTAGCTACAACTTATCCCTGTGATTTATACCAGGGTAACTACCCAAAACATGCTTCTACAGTCAATTGAACTAGAAACCACAACAGCTATATCAATCGAAGTGATATTCGATTATTCGTTTTGTCTATATCAGTACACACAACTTCAACAATATCACCAGCACCAAGGTCTCCAGATAAAGGTAACTTCGACTTGTGTACCAGTCCATCACGACCAACACCAATGTCTACAAACGCTCCAAATGTCGTAACGTTCGTAACTCGTCCCGAAAGACGCGTGTTGACTCTGAGATCATCGATCGACATAACTCCTTCTCGGAACAGTGGCTTGGAAAAATCTAAAATTTTTACAACGGTTGAAATAATCACTATACGCAGTTTATTGCAGGGTAGATACATGTAGATATGAATAGTGATTCAGAGCTTCAGCCTACGCCCAACGGGTCTTGGATGTTTTACCTCGTCTTATGTCATAACCAATACCTTGACACAACCCATTTACGATGAGACGCAAAGTTTCCGGGTCACATTTTAGCGACGAACAAAGCCCTGGAAAACCTGGAAAGAAAAACTCCAGTGGGTTTGCCACAGAATAGAAAAACGCTAAAAGGTTTCCACGTATGATATCTTTCTGGTGCTGATTATCACCTCTTCCGTTACACTGGTACTTTACCTTTGTTCTTAATTAGACGATCAATATTTTCATTCATTCGTGGTTTCCCAATATCTGATAAACTGCCATTGCACAAGTTGAGCAGTCTAAATAAAAACGATGAGATATTGCATGATAAGTAGCGACGCGCTTAGGGGCTTCTCTGAGTTCTCTCTTTGAGGATGACTTGAAATTTAAGTGAAGGGGCAAACCATGCAAGATGCTTCATAGATCCCTCCTCCGCGACCCATCTTCCCTTAGCCTCGATCCCAATACTTACTCTTTGGCGGTTGCGTACGACTCGGGATGTATAGAAGTCGAATCCAGTATACTTAAAGAGATCTGTGCTGGCGTGTGTTTCCTCTTCTTACTAGCCGACGGCCCACTTCCTTCCGCTTTTCTTTTTCCGGACATTTTTTTATTTTCCGGCTCACAATTGTCCTCTTTAGAGATGGGGATAATCTCCTCGGGAGAATGATGGAATATTCTGACAAAACCTGCGCATTGTTCAAAGGTCTTCTCCCCAACACCTTTAACTAACTTTAATTGTTCACGACTTCGAAATGGACCGTTTGAATCGCGCCATGCAATAATCTCCTTTGCTTTGCGTTCATTTAAACCAGCAATTCGCCTATAATAAGAGTAAACATCGTTGGTCAGTTGAACGAAAGCTGTGCAAGCGATATCCACCACCTGATAGTGTTTTTTTTTCAATTGCTCAAAAATTGCCTGTTATCCGGTCATTCCGGTGTCATCTAGAGCAAACCTGGATTGTTAAATTGGGGCAAGCGTTGCAGTTGAAAACGTCTTCCTTACTTTAGTGCATGAATGCTGGATGCGTTCAAGTCAACACCGACCAAGCTAACACAATCCTCAAGAACGCCATTCAATGCTTGTTGTAAGAGTTGCTCAGGGATGTCGTGCTGCAAAAGAAAGATTAAGGTCTTTTTAAATCCAATTCTCTTCTGATGGTTGTTATCAGCTGCAACGCTTGCCTCAAGCCTTATACGCATGGAAACTTAACAAACACTGTCAATCCTACGCACCTGATACATTCCGACACCAAGATGTTTTGGTTCAATTTTGATCAATTCTAACATAGGATTTTGAAGACGCCTCGCTATTGAAACTAAGAAAATGATTACAAGAGTTGTTACAAAATTGAGTTGGTTTAAAATTGTTGCATGATTATATTATTGCAAATTCGCACTTCTGTGAGATACTCTTTGATACGCTCACAGTTATAGTGAGTTTTGCGTTAGTTATGCTAATTACCTGCGCTTCGTAGGTTCACGTCAAGGTTCGGCATCTCCTTTTGCGCTTCTTTCGACACGCTATAAATCGACGCCCCGTCTTCGCCAACGATACTAAATAAATAACATATCACACTTTGAATCTTCAAGTTTACATTTCCAGGAGTGTTCTCTCTTTTGGTATCCTTTAGAGGATCGGATAAAAGGTAGCTACCTGTAACGAACATTCTTCTTTAGTTTTCCCGCCTTCTTCATCCGAGTAATAAAATTCTCTGTTTCACGACATCCCTTGCCATTTCCGAGGGCAATTGTATGACAACTGTTTTTAGTTGAAAATTGCGTTTAGTCCCAACCTGTACGTATCCCAGTTCAACACTCTGATTGTGACACCCCCCCCCCCCCACACCAGGCCCTACACATACACCCCCCACACGCACCCCCCACACACATACACCCCCCCACACACATACGCCCCTCTACACACACCCCACCCCATCCCCACACATGTTTTAAATTGTCTTAAAATCTTACTTATGTTGTATGAGAAGACCTTGCAATCTTTCCTCACAGAGCCGTGTACTAGATCCCAACAAATCCAAAATGGCTGTATCCAGAACAGCTCCTGGCAAGAGTATAGAAAAGAATATATATGCATTAGGTCTTTCAACAACCCTAGTTGTCAGGCAAGTTAATCTTGTATTATCTTGCTGCGATTATATAGTCAAGGCCTCTCGAAAAGCCATACCATGTTCACTAACAACAGCTATTTTACAGCCATGTTGAAAGCCAGGATCGATAGCGAGAATAACTTCGCCTTGTATGGGAGGAGTCAAAAGAAGTCGACGTAGATTTCTTGAAAAGACATTGACAGCTTCACGTTCTGCTTTCTTTGTCAATTCACTCCTAGTCCAGTTTAAATTCAAGGAGATTTAAATTTAGTTTACACAAGTATCAATATTTTTTATCCATTAACTGGCAATACCCATGCAGCAATGTTTCTCACCTTTTTTGCCTCGTCAGTTTTGGTATCATCAGCCTGTTGTACGCATCCATCAATGAGTTAGTCATCATACCACGAACAAAACCTGGAAACGCATCTTCAGAAGATTAGTTGGCAACCATCAAAGATGACGTACCAGTCCACACATGGACCTATTTGTGGTAAATGCCTGACAAATCAACCCTAACTTGTCACGTCAAAGTGAAATCTTACTCACCAGAAGATCCATAAGTGGAAAAAATATTTCTTCTCTCCACTTCATATATGAACCTTTGTTCAATGTTTTCTGGAAAGTTGAACCTTACATGTATAATTTTCTCTTTTTCAGCCCGATTAATTGCCAGAATCTACAAATTCATTTCAATTTGATGATGTACTGTTAAAATGCTACCATTTCCTAAGCTATATCAAACCTATCCAGCTGGAAACAAGTAAAAATAGACAATTACCTGATGAGGTTTAGCTTCATTGAGTTTCAGATACCTTTCATGATAATCCTTGTACTTTGTCTCTTTCTTACATTTTACAAGAACTTTTGTTTCTATAGTAGTGTGGCGACCTTCAAACCTAACAAATTAGTAAGACAACGTTTATACACGTACATGTAAACAAAAAAGTAAACGGTAATGGTATTTCAAGTAATTGCATTCAATATGATTTATAAATATTTCATATATATGATTTCACAATTATCATTAAATTCAGAAATACACAATATGCACTAAATGTTTAAAATATACTAACATGCGTTTGAGCAGATCACATGTCTCTTTATCCTTGGATATATTGTCTGCAATTATATGCTGAACACCTTTATTAACCTCAGTATTGCTGGACAAGCCTTAAGCAAAAGAAAACAGTGAACTTTTAAGTAATCAACCACAATCAACCATTAACTAATCAACCATGAAGGGATGGTTTGAGTAAGGTTTGAGTGAGGAAGGTTTAGTAAAAGCCCCAAGGGCAATGATCGTGCAGGCAACTTTTGTCTAAACACTTCCCCTAGGGTATTTAGAAATATAAACATCACTCATCCTTGTAGGGGAATTATACATAATTGCTAGTATTGTTGCAATAATTACATATGGAATTAATTATTTGCTGAATGCATCATCAGCTGGCAACCAACCAAGTCCAGCCAACTTACCTACTTTCCCTAGTTGTACAAAGGATGTTAAGTTTTCAATATTTGAATGGCTACGGATAAGTTCTGCAGCTTTTTCTAAACCAAGTTCTCTGGCTCTATTAGCGAGAGTTCCCTTTGACCCAGGTTTAAATGGTGCATTCTACACAATTAAAAGGATCTGAGTTAATTGGGACCATTCTGCAAGGGGTTGGTGGTGGTGATTCACCTCAACGATAATCCTTTCAGGTTTGTTTGAGTATAATGCTATCTATATATACTATAATTACTATTCTATCTACCATCTAGAAAATATGGGAAGCCAAGGTATATGGCCTGCTTTGGGTTGAATTTAACAAGATTTCTCCCAATAAATATGCCTATTTTTCATGTGACTTACAATATCTTCCACGTCTTGCAAGCTTCTTGCTTGTTTTAGACTTTGCTGTATTTCTGGGGTTAGTTTTGTGCCGATACTTTTTAAGACTGTTTGCTTTCGGTTCTCAATAGTCCTATATGTAGCAAACACAGATTGTTACTAAATATATATAACCACAGGTCTACATTATACTGTATTTTTTAACTAGCAAGTAGATATAAAGTTAATTAATCACTCTGGGACTTCCAGTACGAAAGGCAAAGACAAAAATAAACAAAACCAAATAGATTTCTGAGCGTACTTCAAGGGGCATTATATTAATACACATTTGTCTCTTCAGGGGCATAGGAAGCACATTTAAGTTGGGGGGGGGTTAACCTCTAGGGAACTTGCCTGGTGAATATTATTATAAAATTACTTTAAAGTTGAATTAAATTGTTGCGTTGCCATATAGACGTTTTCAGAAAGGAAAAGGACACTTTATCTCAATTCTCAAAGCAGAACGGCCCTTTTTCCAGTGATTTTTAAAGTTGGGTGGCTTTGCGCATGATTTTAGCCCGCCCCCCGGTTCCTAACCTCGTGCCTTTAAAATTTAAAACCCCTGCAATAAAATTGTTAACGTTTCATTGTTTTCAGCACTTTAAACTTACTTCGCTGTCTCCAAGGACTGTTGAATCAAACGAATCTTTTGTGCATCAAGAATTCCAGTTTCATGTCGTCTATATCTTGCAATAAACGCCACGGTGTTGTCTGCAGACAGAAGACGAATGACGCTCTCACACTTTTGAAAGTCGACTTCGACATCGTCGGCAATAAACCGGATTATTTCTTGCGTTATAAGGTTTATTGCGTTCTTATTCCTATTTCGGCTGCTGGTAGTGGAACGTTTATCAGCACTCATTATTAGACATAAAAATTAACCATCTTAGCAGCGAAAACACCATTTTACTTGAAAAAAAACTTCGCTTTTTACAGGATTCTTCCAAAATATTTCCCCGCTAAAATTCAAATCCGAAAATTTCCGACTCGTTCCGATCATACGCCATCATAAATCTTTCAAGATGGCGACGACCAGGAGTGAAGGATTCATTTATAATTAAAATTAAAAGAACTCAAGTTTAATTTGATTTTTCCGATGTAATACAATTATTCAAATGAGACAAACTGAGTACTCATCACTATTGTCCATTAATTACACCTGTTCAAAACCCACTTGTTCTACAAGTGAACGGTTTATCACACTTTGAACACATTTAAATCCATGTTTTTGCTCTGGCAGATGACTGACGACTCTCCATTTGTTTGTCTTGAAGTTGTAACATTCAACGGAATTTTGTACGACACGACCGTACGATCCACCAAATACATAAATCTTATTGTTGAAGCACGCTGCTGTACAACGATCACGAAATTCGTTCATTGCTGCAACAGTAACAAAGAAATGCAATAAGTATTTCTTCAAAGCTAAATATATATAATTTTAGAACAGTAGCATTTTTTCGAAGAAAACTGCAATAGCAACAAAACTTTCGTAACTGCCCACAGTACTTCCTCAAAACGTTTTAAGTAACCCATTCTGATTCCGTTTTTCATATTAAAAAGTACGTGAATTTTGTATAAAAGTGCGTGAATTTTGTATAAATTAATTAATTTTGTATACCAAGCAAAATAAACCCCAAGATTGTATCTTCCCATTTGACAACTTACGTGCAATGTTCTCCCACTTGTTCTGACTTCGGTCGTACATTTCACAACTGCTGAGTGGATCCTTCAAATTCGAGCCACCAATCACAATGACGCGTTCATCAAGTGTGACCGCGCATGCTCCAGTCCTGGGAACCAATAAAGGTGCGACATCGGACCAGATATTTTGATCAGGATCGTAACATTCAACATCCCTCAACGCTCTATGACCACGGGTACAGCCTAAGAAAAAAAAATCTCAAAACCTCAAACATTACAGTGGCAGGATACGACACTAATAAACAGGTTATCATATCAAGATCCTTCCTCATTCTATCGCTACCTCCAATGAAATAAATCTTTCCATCCAAAACTGTAGAACAGTGATCGTATCTTGGTAGCTTCGGAGAGGGCGTTTGAACCTGTTCCATTCTATCGTTTTCTTCTTCATTTTCCGCCAAATTCGGGTAATACATTTCTAGCGTTTTTTGATGAGGATCATTGCACATTCCGCCAACAAAATACACTACATCTCCTACGGAAACAGCGTCAAAGCGACATCTAGCTAAAAGACATAAATGAATGAAAGACTTTAGACTTGACTACACTCAGGTTTGCACCGGCATCAACGTCATTTTCTTTTACCCCGGTCGAGTATACTATATCCTAGTATATTCGACCTTCACTAATTTCCCTCCTTTCTCCACAAATTTTCATACCTTCACACATCGCCTTGTTGACAGATTTCCATCGATTCAATTTCGCGTCGTACATTTCGACGGTTGCGAAAAATTTATCGTCAGCCATGCTCTTCAGACCACCGAAAACATAAAGACCGCTGTCACAGTGCACCATCCCGAACAGATGTCTCGGAGACTGTAAGGCTGATATGGCGTACCATTGACTGTTCACTGGATCAAACGCCCACTGTTTCATGTTGTGTTCGGGCTCTGGGCTGAAACCGCCAATAAGAAGAAGAACTTGGATGGACAAACTACACCACCTGAATACATGAAAAAAATCTTGAGCAAACTAAGTGCTTTGGGTTGCGTCATGACTCAAGAGGAGTATTTCCTAATTTGCTTCCATATCAAAAATATTTAGTCAAAGTTCATTCTACTAACCTCTCCATCACTCTAACCGTATGCACTTTGCCCCGTTCCTCGGGCGACAAAGTGTTGTACATAAGCGCCTCGTGCACAAAGTCTTCACTCAATGGTGACACATTCATGACGGGATCTTGCCTGTAGGTTGCAGTTAAAAACTCTTGGGGCATAAACCTGAAACGAACTTGACTCATGAGCAGTGGAACATATTTCAACCTCTGTTCACGATCATGCTCTATCCATTTTCTAACGGCTCCGTACACCTCGTTTTCGTTGCCCACAATCAGATGGTCGCTGGATATGACCTCCTTTAAGTTCTTCGCATCAATCCCAGGAAACTCTTTCAATTCGACAACTTTTGCAAAGTTACCACTCGTACACCTACGAGCACTTTCCAAAAGTACTGGGAATTTCCACTTCGTCGCTATGGACATGACTTGCAGGCAGTTTTGAGGACTGATGCATTTCATCAAGTAACGTTCAGACACAGTGAGGAGAGTTTTCAGTTGTAACAGAGCAGCAGCTTCGAAGATATCTTGTGCATTTTCAAACGTAAGCATTATAGCGCCCGTGTAGAGATAGTCAATGATTGCTACGAGGACGCTTGGAGTGAGATTTTGTACAACGATGTCTTGACTTTGCCCAGTCGTGGAATCATCTTTGCACAATTCTTTAAAATACGGGCTAGAAGCTACCAAAACCTCGCGATGAACTGCGAAACCTTGATGTTCTTCTTGTGTTTTTAAAAGCACATTACAAAACGATTTTGTTTTTCGTAGTTCATTCAATCGACGAAGCAGTTCACTGCCATGATCCGAATCAGAGAGCTGAAAATCCGACAAAGGTTTCAGCTTTGCTAATCTATGTTGAATTTCGAACATGTCGCTTTGAAATGTTTTGTTTATAGCTTCTATGTATATACATGATACGCATAAAATAAATAAATTGGGATTTAGCATAAATCTAATATGGTACCTGTCATTTTTTAATTCGAATGCACGCGGCTGAAACAGTTGCTCTGATACGAGAACAAAAATAATGAAAACAAGGTTTACTGTCGCTCTCTCATTCGCCACTGTAGACAATACTATAGATATAGTGATTGCTTTATACCGGCAAAGACTTTAATAATTTTTGTATTCATAAATGGTGCATGTAGCTACCAGCGTTTCTAAAATGTAATCGCGCAAACGACACCACGACAATCATTTTCATTATTGCCTTTTCAATTCCTCTCTCAGATCTTTAAGATATTCGAAGGCCTCTTTTGTAAGTTTATGCTTGCTACCAATCTGCGATCTGTACGCTGAAAGAACGAAAGAAACACTTCGTCTTACAAACGAACGAAAGCTGCGCTAATATCTTATTAGATCGCAATACTTCAAACAAACCTTGCGTAGTTTTCAGGACGATCCTAAATGCCTCCTCTTTTATCGTTCTCATCATAGCCTCGGGAATCTTTAAGAAAAAAGAGATGCTGTATTGCTGTTAACTTTTATCATCTATAGACTTTATTCATTGATCACTGAAGATTTGCAGCTCTTATGATTGTCTTTTCCATGATAAAATGGTTAATCAACCTTGGAATTAATGATTGGTTTCACTTACAAGCGGGTACCACTGAACAAAGACAAAAGAAATTCAACTCACCTCAGTCTTCAGATGGGTTGATTCAGTGGCCAATAACTCCCGATGTTCAGGGTCCTAACAGACAAAACAGAATTCGAGGTGTTTGCATACGTAAGTAATGCAATGTTCGGAAAGAACCGCATTAAAACTTTCTAAAACGCCACGAGAAACCAGGATTCGACGTATGAAATATCTCGAGATTTTACATTTGATCGTTTTGGGAATTTCAAATGTGTTGAACAAACACAACTCACCAGACTCCCAAAGCCGACGTTTGCACCACGACTTTGTTTCCACTTGGTAATGGTGGCAGCAAATGTTATTATATTTCCTATTGACGCCTTTCCTGGTCTGTCAGCAGCTTCCACCGCTGACATCAGCTAAAAAAAAGGAATTTCAACGTGTTGTTAATGTCTAGAGTTGACCCCGAGAAGGTGGTCGATTGAATATATAGTGGTCTTGCCTTTAGTAAACTTTGAGATTTATAGAGCAACAACAATAACTAAGTCTATACCTTGTTCAGTCCTCCACTGGGTCTGCTTGACTCTCTCCCAGTGCCTGCAGACGTAGTCTTGTCGCGCGTTTCTGGTAAAACTTTGAATGTTGAACCGAACTTGTTCGACAACAACTTTTTAGTCCGTTCCGAATTTTCTTTCTCCGACTTTTCCTTGGTTTCTTCAATTTCCTTGTTAGGACTAAGAACAATGACGTTTGTTTCATCGTCAGGATCACAAGACATCACCGTTTCTGATGGTGACCTAAGAGAAGAACTTCGTATTAATGAGATTTCTTCAATATAAAACTATTCACCTTCATTGTCACCAAAGGAAGAACCCTACACTGCCACTGTACCACAGTTGTAATTATGCTATGTTAGCGACCTCCGAATATCATGCATGGGTTCCAATGGGTTCCGCATTGTACTTACTTATCCACCATAACCCATCCTCCTTCCGGCTCATCTCTCTCGTTTCCAGTGTCAGCGGTAGACTTCGCCACACCGTGCACGCTTGAACGAGGTAAATTTCTAGCACTGTCAGAGAACATCTGCGTTCTCATACGACCAGGTTCCGTCTGGGGTCGCGTCATTCCGGAACTTTCCGGGGGTGTCGTCGGCTGCGGAAAATGACGGAACAACTTGCTACCACCAGATACATTTGTCTTCTCTTTATCCTAGTAAAAGTTTGAACAACACTGCACTTCAACACTCTCAAGATATTTAACTATGCTATTAACATGGTTTAGCATGATATACCTTGGATTTCGATTCTAGCCAGGGATTAACCTTAGCTTTATTTTCACTAGACAAAAAAGATAATAAAAAGTAGAACGCAAAATAGAACAGGTAGCGCAATCAATCACTGGTCTTCAAAAAATATAAAGACACCCCAAAATTCTAGGCTTGTGAAACGTTTATTACCTTGGTTTAGCCGTGACATCTAGAGACAAGGTATCCTCGTTTTTACAATCATCTTTATTGTGGGTTCCAAGAACACTCTTTGGTCGATCCTCACAAGAGTCGGGTATCCGTCGTTCAACTGGACAGCTGTTTGTTCGACGGTTAGCTGACATGTTTATAAGTTAATTGAATATGTTACAAACTATCTATTAAAAACCTGCCAATAAATTAAGCCCGGTCAACAAGGCTTACCCGGATTACAATATAAGTCTTCTCAAAATGTGGCAATTAGTGACGTCACAATTAGGAAGACTCTTGTGCTAATCAGGGAGCTTTAGCTGTGATAATGACGAACAAAATTCGTGCATTTCGGGTGAAAATACAGAATATTGAAGTTCTAAAACATTACTGTGGCACACAGACCTATGTCAGTGTTATGACCTATGGTTGCTTGCGCCACCATTCGAGTCGTAGTCGTTGGTATTCGGGTGCCGCCGCTTGTACGACTACGCTCGACTATTCCGTGATGACGTAACCTAACAATATGCATGAAGTATGCACTGTTGCAATCACATTCACAGCTAAAGCTCCTTTTATTGTAATACACAACCCCCACTTTAATAGTACATCAATTCAATAAATATCTCACGACTAAATTAGTTTCTTCATCAACAAGGTTTTTAACTATGATCCGACCTAAACTATATAACCTCTACTTCAGGTTCACAAAGGGTACGTTCACACAGAGCGGTAACCAACAAGACTTGCTTGAAAAGCAGTAAAATCAGGCAAAACCTAATAACGCTTGAAATACCGCTGTGGGCAAACGTTCCCTTCAAAGACACAGCTTATTTTGTACAATAAACACGACAATGACATGTGCATGGATAGGATAGGGCAGAAACTGACTTTATTTACAAGGTAAAAATCACTGAGAAAAAAGCGAAACATTCAGGGAAAATTTGTGATAGGTTCTGGTGGCAAGAATCTCCCGGGTTAAAAGGAAGCACAGGACGTCTGTCTTATGCTGTGCACGTCAGCCTCGCTTTTGTGTGTTGGCATTTATACTAAAATATGTTCTTACATCGTCAATCCATCTTTTACGTACGATGCATTGAGTATGTACGAACAATCAAATGTTCGCAGATCAACACGTGAGACGGTGTTTATTGAGAGTGTATTAAATTAAACCCCGCCGTTTCTTGTAGTCTTCGAGGTTTAAAGAGCGTCTGGGTGCGTTTTGTTTATTGTGATTCGTTGCTTTAGGGGTCGCTGATGCCGGGCGATTATCTAAAATGGAAATATGCAGAGAATGAGAGGTTGAAATGATCTCTCAGAAGCGTAGAAATAAAATGGGTTTTCAGAAACGCAGAAAAATAGAAATGAAATAAATCTCAGAAACGGGGAGATGTCTCACCTGGCAAAGGAAAGTCGAGTTCAATTTTAATGTCGAAGTCGTGCGCATTGAAAAGATCCTCGTTTTCTGTGTTGATGGAAGGTCGCCTGTTTGGAGTGTCTGCCATGTCTATGCTGGAGTTCTAAACATGTTCAACAATCACTGCTGTTAGCTAAACTATTTATTGCATCCAGTTTATGGTGCAGAAATGTCCAGCAAGAGTTGAGGTTTTACAATTTACAGCATCGTATGTAATGGTGCATTAACTTAACACCATGCAGTGACCCCCAAAACGACATAGTCTATTTTACCTGATCTCCGGCCATTGGCGTTTGACTCATCTATAAACACAATTTGATAGGATTATCAGAATAGATGAACTAAATTTGATAGGATGATCAGAATAGATGAACTACAGGTTCAAATGACTTCATTGACTTGTTTGCTAAACGTACCCCAGGTATATTGACTTGAATATTATCAGCAGCAGCTTCTTCTTGTAATCTTCGTATTTGCTCGGGTGTGAATTCTGGACCTTTGTTGATCTGGAGATAAAAAAAAACATATAAAATAAACTATGAAGAATTTCATAATAGACCAATCAGTAAATTTGTTAGATTTTCCATCACCCAATCAGGTGGCATCAGGCATGGGGTTCAAAAGCTGTGTACCTTTGCAACAAGTTGGGGCAGGGTCTTCCTTCTTGTGAAAGGATCATCTTTCTTCTCTTCAATCTTTGCCTCTGCCTGAAAAGCGTGAAAAGGTTAACGCGCTGTCAGTTTAAGTGAACTAAAACGCTCATTTCTTCAACAAGAAAACTCACGACAATGGCCTTTTCCGCTTCCACAATGTTCTTCTTGCGGTTCCTCTCGTTGATGTAACTAAGGGCAAGATATGAATGGTCTTATAACAGCTAATTTTCTCACAGGATTAATTGATATCTTAGATTGTGTACCTAATTGCACTAAGTCCTCTACTTCTCTGTTTATCTAACTCTTGTGCTCTTTCTTCAAGTTCATCCAGTTCTGACTGAAGTGTCTGAGATTCATCCAGATTACCTTGCTGTTCAGCTATTTCCTTTCAACACAATAAAAATACAAAAATTTCACTTTAAGCAAACCAGCATATTCGAACTTCACAGCATATGCAGTAACATGTGTTGTTATAACACAGTTATTTCATAGCATCTGCAACATGTAATGAAATAATTGAAATTGCCCAACTTTAATTTACCTTTGATCTGAGAAGCTGATTCTTTTTCATAGCATAGTTGAATGGGGTTTTTCTAAACTTTGTTTTCTCTGCAACTATCTGTAGAATAGAATAAAATAGTTGCTAAAAAACAAGAAAAAAACGACAAATAATCAAACTACAAGTACCTACATTACCTTATCTACATCATTGTCTTGGTAACTATAGTTCTTGCTGTTTTGTAATTCTAGAAGTTTATTGTCAACTTCCTCCATTGTGGGGACAGGAATGTCATTGGAATGCATCTACATCCATAAATTTTAAGAATTAATTGCTCGGTCTTTCAACTATTGGCTAAATTTCGAAAATGAACAACATGAAGTAGACCAAGAGAACAAATAAATATACCTCTGACAACCAACGTCCAAATTCACTATCAGTGAAGGCTTGGTTAGACACAAACTCTAATCTGAATACCCTCTCCTGTTGTCCATGTCTACATGAAACAAACACATTACACAGGTTGTCTTGTATCACAAAGGATATTTGATAATAAACTATTGGTTGTTTAACTGCCACAATCCTTACTTGAGTTTTAGACCTTTATTAGTTCTTGTGCCACCTAAATTGTAAACTTTGGCTGTTTCCACAACTCCCATAATCTGAGCTACCTGCGATGACATGAACGAGGCAAAGAATTAAATGAATGACTGGTCAATCAGCAATTACAGCTGGTATTGAGTTAACATGACAAGAGTCATAAAACAACAGCAAAATGGCTTACCCTATAAATTGATCGGCCTTCATTCTGCCCAATACCAATTCTGACAAAACAACCTTTCACAAGCTCTTCAAAGTAAGGCATATGAACCCATCTATAAAGTAATTATTTCCAGGTTGAATGGTTTGAAATTTATTTCCATTGCAAATCAGTAAACTGTACATTTTTAGCTGACATACTTTTCCATTTTATGCCGAGACAATCTAACTTTCTCCACATCCTCGACACTGCTGACCTTTTCTTCAGTTTCTTCCATCACCCTGGGTTAGAAAAGAGAAATCATTAACTGTCTTAAAGCTTTCTAACCAGAATACTTAGATGACAGTAAGTGAATAAATATTACTAGAATATAAATATACAGTCAGATCTGAACACTTACTCATCTTCACTCTCTTCCTCAGATGATGCAACTTGTTCAGTTTGTTCCTCCTGTTCTTCTTCCGCATCATCATCAGAACTATAAACCTCATTAGTTTTCCATGGTTCTTTCTGCTCTAATAATGCCTTTTCTTTCTTTTCATGTCTTCTTTGTTTCAGTTCATTAAAAGCTTTAACTTTCTTCTCTTCCACCACCTTCTTACGTCCACTTCGACTAAAGGCAATTCCTCCAGTTCCATCCTTCTCACTAACAGCCTTTTCCTTTTCTCTTTTCTTCTTCTCTTTCTTTTTGGCGAGTTTCAGTTTCTGTTTAATTTCTTGACGGGTTTTCATTGCCTCTCGTCGTTCAAGACGATTGAAAATCTCTGTTTCGCGTTCTTTTTCTGTCATTTTATCCAACCTCTCTCGGTCGGCTTGATCTCCAATGCAAAACTCATCCAAACCATCATCAAACTTCTCATTTTCTTGAGATACTGATGACGAACCGGAATCAGAATCTAAATGAAGGATATACTATATGTAAAACACACTCGATAAGCATGATACACCATTGGATGCACTCCAAGTTGGCGAATGTTCATGGTACTCTTTGTAAAAATGGTGCATACATACCATCAGATGACTCAGAACTCGAATCATCAGTTTCACCAGATTCTGATGCTGGCTTTTTCGGTGGTTTCTTCGTTCCATTCTTCTTCACCTTGCCCTTGTTGGGTCTGTCATCGATTGTCCACTACAAATAAAGCAAGCTTTGTCAAACTCTTAAAACTATTATGCATACATGTCTACTTGACATTTTGCATGAACATGATGGCTTGATTTTGAGAATAATAATTGTACTTCCCAATATTTGTATATCAATAAATATAATTTCACAATAATCTCAATCAACATTTAGAAAAGTATAATGTATACATAACATACTTGGGTAAATATTTATATATTACTAGGAAATATGAATGGAGGAAGCCCAATATTCTGTTGACAGTCAAACCTTCAATATTAAAGATTAAAGGCAATAACAAGTCAATCATCAAACCTCATCATCGCTGCCCTCGGAGGATTCACTGTCACTGTCGGATTCTGGGTTTTGTTTGGCAGCTTGTGGAGTTGGTTCTTGTTGCTGCGTACGAGCTCGCTTTGCAAGCGAAAGCAACTCCTGAAAGAAAAATGAAGTGCCTGTGTTGATTTTAAGTAACTGTACTCTACCCTGGCTCATTCCTCCCCAAGCAAGACTACCAGTTGGAGAATTTGATTTGCTCCAATTTCTTCACATTTTCATCTGTAGTAAAATGCACAAAAGTGTCAAAACCGACAACATCACGAACCACTCTACATATTTCGGGTCACGACACATACTAGACAAGATAAAATTCTCGCCCACCTCTTCAAGGTCTTCGTCGCTGTCGTCATCATCGCTTTCTGATTCAACAACAACCCTTTTGCGCTTCTTTTTCGAGTCTAAATCTTTCTTTTTAGAAGACATTTTACAGAGGAAAACAAATATGAAATATCGTCGATTTTTTCCTTCGAAGCACGCAACCAAGCTCGCGTGGGGCTCTGGGTAATAATATATATTCATTATTTCTAAAGCAGAAAAATTACATCTAATTTTGCGAATATTTCTTTGACGAAAACGCACATGATATTACTTTGCACAACCTATTCTAGTTAAGATACCTCGCAAAGGATTTATAGTAAAAAAAGGCAGATATATTTCGAATTGTGTATTTTATTGTGTATTTTATTGTAATTTTTCAATTTCCAACATGGCGGAATGTTTTCCTCAATTCTCATTGGTCAATTATTGCTGACATTGCATTTCCCCTCTCGCTGATTGTGCTTGGGTTTTGTTTTGATGACGCAAAGGTAAGAAGGAAGGGGGAATGCCCAGTCGAAGACCCAAAGAAATTGAAGCGATTCCATGGATTTACTAAACGAAAACCGGAAAAAAATGATAGAAGAGAAGCCGGAGAAGTCTACGATGCACGATGACACACATGGCAGGAAACGGGGGGTGTTATTGATTGATATTCATCAAGAAAAAATACAGGTTTGTTGAAATAATTGACGAAGTTTTAGTTTTGTTGTTGTTATGAAGGGTCGTAGGGTTGAGATTATAGAGGAAGAAATCTTCGTATGATATATGACGCAAAGGGACGCAAAGTATTATAATCAAGTACCAGTCTATCACACAACTCTTTTTTATCATATTTTCCATTCAAAGTTGACTTATGATGTACCAATATCATTCCCAGTTACTGTTTTATTGATGGTTGATATTGTTGTCATTTTCAGCTTGAGTCTGGTTATATTAATAGGTTGAAGACAAGGAAGATTTTGCAAGAAAGCTTGTCTGTTCAGAAGATGAGAACTTGAAAGTTGTCTCCATCTTTGGCAATACTGGTGACGGCAAGTCATACACATTGAACCATACGTTCTTCAGTGGCCAAGAAGTGTTCTCAACTTCAGCATCTCAAACCTCATGTACTGTAGGCATCTGGGCTGCATATGATGAGAAAAATCACTTGTTGATTGTTGACACAGAGGGCCTGCTAAGCACATCTAATAATTCTAACCAACGCAAGAGACTTCTGATGAAAATACTTGCAATATCAGATGTTATCATATATCGCACAAAAGCTGAGAGGTTGCATTCAGACATGTTTAGTTTCCTCGGTGATGCATCGAAAGCATATTTGAGGCATTTTTCACCTGAGCTAAAGGCTGCCATTGAACGCAGTCAGTTGAACTTACCCATATGTCTGCTTGGACCAGCTGTGGTCATATTTCATGAAACTCACCATACTGAAATTCTTGGAACTCAAAGCAATGACTTAGGTAATGCAATAATGTCAAAGTCAAAATTAACTATATTGGATAGTTAGTCTTTGGCAGTTGGCTATTTTGTAGGTCTTAACTATACATACAAGGTTCATATATTATTTACTTCCTATGTTACCAGGCGAAACAAAATCTGCCGATGAATTACTGAAACAAAGGTTTGCAGCTGTTAAACAAGATCCACAGGCATTCAGTTCAATAAAATATGTGGGGACAAAGACATTGAATCACAGCACAGATTTTCAAGCACTGTTTAAGACGGTGATTGAACTTACTAATGACTTGTCAGTACGTTCTCGAAGACCACTTGGAGTCATATATGATGTATTGAATGTAAGATAATGAAATATTACTAAGACACTTGCTTTTTACTTTGTCTAACAGACATTTACCAGAAGTGTACTTTAACCTAATAAGAATCAATATTATGGTATATTCCATTTTGAATCTGTAGCATCTCAATGAAAAGTTCAAAGGTGAAATTGAAAACGTTGTTCCAGACACATTTCCAGATTCTTATTTCACTTGCCTGACTATCTGCCAATGCTGCAGGTACAGTGACCTTTCAATCAATTTGTCTGTAAACTATGTAATTATTTGCCAGTTAATCAAAAAGTGGCATGTTGTTAATTTCTTAGTACAAGATGCGAGGGAACAATGAACCACGGTCGAGACGGAACTGCTCATAAGTCAGAGAAAAGCTGCCACTACATGACACAGTTTGATAATCGATATTTTACATGCAATGTATGTATGAATCATCTTCAAAATGTGTCAGTGCATACCTTAGTAAGAACTCTTTCTTTACAACCAATAAATAGGCATGTTATCAACGAGGAAAGAACAATATTGTGACAGAGAAAACGTATGCAGATGGTGATGGTTCATTGAAAGGCTTGGCCAATTACGCATGGTCAGGGTAGGTTGATAGTCCAGGAAAGGCCACTAAAAACCTTTACAATTTTTGCTGAGAAACTTCCACTTCATCATTATTTTCAAGGTACGTTCTCGAGTGTCCAGAATGTGGTGTCATTTACAGAAGTCGCCAATACTGGTATGGAAATACTGAACCAGAGAAAACGGTTGTTAGAACTCACTTGAAACACGTTTGGCAAGGTGTAAGTGAAGTTTGTAAAAATGATACCGATATGTGAGGGGGAGAGGGGACGAACGAGCCAGGCAGAGCAGACAAAATTAGAAAGTCACTGACAAGTTTATAGCCGCTATAATTACCCGAGATATTGATACATCAAATTCAGAGAAAAAAGAAATTGAGTGGAACCATCTGTGGGTCGCCCTATCTTCTCTGCATTCCATCTTCAGCTCTGTCTCCATGTTCATGCTCTACCATTCACTGAAAGCAACTAAGATCGCAGGGTTTGCGCGCCTCAGCCGATGTTAAATTACTGTATTTCGCGTTTAGGAACATTATGGAGACGTGAATCACACAGGACGTCGTGTGTTGGACGGCCTAAATTTTGTCAAGCGGACGGTAGATGTTGTCAGTGAAGTACCATCGAGATATATCAAAGATTTACTGTCCGACGCAATTGCACCTGGTTATTGGGTGTCCAATAATGAAATCAAGGTGTGTCCATATCATATGGATTATGTGATTTATCTTGTAATAAGATTAGATAAGAAAAACCTGTCTGGTATGGAAAACAGACATAAAATCAACGTTCAAAGATTCGACGCTAAAATCATGATGGGGCTTTTAATTAGAATGAAATGCGTCTCTCCCTTAGGAGTGTTATGGTTGCAAACACATCTTTGAAAGTTCCGAGGCGAAGCACCACTGTCGTGCCTGCGGTCAGGGTTTCTGTCATGACTGTTCCGATTTCGTCATGCCCGTGCCTGACAGAGGCTGGGGCCCTGGTCCGGTAAAAGTTTGCAAGACCTGCTTTCTGCAAAGCGAGACGAAATCAGAAGATGACGAGATTTTCGAAGGAGAACTCGTTGACACAAGGTGATAAATCCAATATTACAATTCACAAAGGAAACAAGATGTACATTCTGGAGCTGGGGGGGGGAGCAATGTACATTCTGGAGCTGGGGGGGGAGCAATAATCTCTGGCTGTATGAGGGTGTCAGCCTTTACATCCAGCGATAAATTACTTGAAGTATAAGTATCTTTCTTTATAGCGCCTTAAGTGAAGCTCTTGATGAGGACGACCAACATTCAGGCAAGGACGACCTGCGTGCCCGCAAGGTGGGAGAGGTGTTGCACAGCTCCGTGAGTAAACTAGCACAAGTCGTGGACCTTCCAAGGACACTTATTAACGACGTCGCACGTCCATCCTACTGGGTAGCGGATGCCGATATTGTGACATGCGCATGTTGCGATTACAAGTTTCGTATTGTGGACTCGAAACATCATTGCCGCGCCTGTGGTCAAGGTGTCTGCGGTAGATGTTCTACAAAGATGCAAGCGGTTCCCGTAAGAGGCTGGGACCACCCTGTGAGGGTGTGTGACTCGTGTCTTGAAGACAAGTGAAAAGATGATGCACAACACGAACCACTTGGATGTTAAATATACTATCCAAAAAGAAATGGTGATATCCATACGTACCCAAAACGATTCTCCATACATCCCCAAAATGACAGCGCTCAGGGTACACCCATACTCACTCGAAAAGGCTTACGGCCAGTAACAGAAATGACCTGTAAATAAACATATATACTGAGCATATTGTGTTTGCCATAATGAACTAAAATTATGTGATAAATAATAAAGGTTACAGGCTATGAATGATTAATAAGTTTTAAATAGGATGGTAATTGTATCTAGCTAATAAGATTCACTTGATTATCAACGAAAGTAATATTTTTCAATGTAAAAATTTTTCAAGCGTGTAGAAATTACAATTGTTTGAGATATTAATACGAAAATCAACAAGATTTCGCTGTTTACACAACGAAAAACTCATTTTTCTATTTCTAAGCGAGTATGAATTAATTATTAGTTTAAATTCAATAAATGTATAAAGATAAGTTAGATAAGGTTCCATAGCCACAGATAGCCATTTGATTAATATCGACCCAGCAGTGTTTTTTTCAATTTTTCTCGCGGTACATTGCCTAAAAATATCACTGTTCATTGCGCTCTGTTCACAGCGAGTTTTTTAATTACGACCCGAAAAATTTAATTACTTGTTATCGTAAGAATTTTGCAATTTATAAAGCCATTTTTTTTAGACACAGACGGTGCAGGGTTTTCGGATACAATTATAAATATTGATGATCGTCACGGCGGCGAATGGCGTGAAGATCTACTCTGCATAACACAACATTTAATTTCTTCGCTACTGGGTTTCAAACCACCGGACCAGCTGTTCATATACACTCGACAAAGTTGTCATATCACGTGCCGTAATTGAGGATTTATTTCAGCTTTGTTGAAACGAACGCATGTGTTCGTGGAGATAACGTTGAACGTCAAAGATCTCAAAGATTGCATCGTATCTATACGCGATCGAACTCAACTGAAAAGATCATTTCTTTATGGTTACGGATACATTGTGAAATGATTGTCATGGTTTTGGAGTAAAGCAGTGGAAAACACAGTAGTCTCGCGTTGACAATTCACCTAGTATTGTGACAGTTTCATTGACAGACTTTGGAACAACTCTTAGGATCTGCATGTAGCACGGTAGGAAACAAAGAGATTTTCTTCGTTTTTCTTAAAAGGGATTTTCATTCCTGTGGAAAAGCGTTTAGCAAACATCCTGAATAACTCGGCATTGCTCGTTGTTCTAAGATCTTCAGATGGCTATAGAAGATGCACCACCAGAGCCCAACCCGAATTGGGACGGCACAGCTCAGGATGAGCTAGGTTGGCTTTTTCCAGCACATGTCTACCTGTTCGCGGTTTCCTTCATCATCCTGGGCATGATCACCATCCTCGCTCTCGTGTTCAAACGAAACTCCAGGGAGAGCAAGCATTTTGTCAAAATTATCATGTTAAGTGCGATCATATTGCTGTCCATCTCGCGTGCAGTGTTGCTGTTCGTAATTCTGTATATGTCCGGAGGGAACTCCACAATTTGGTGGATCTTCGCTTGCGTGTTGATCGAAGGGCTCGGCTCCACGTCTCTAACAGCCTCGTTGGCAATACTGCTCTACATCACCTCGATCTTAACTCGAATCACAGGGAAATGCCGTCAGCGGCAATTGGGGCTCGTTGCATTCGTCGTAACCGTTGTGAACTTCGTGTTCTTTATAACCTCAGACTTTGTGACCCTGGTTTCGGGGGATAAGGGCAAGATCATGCTAACGGTTTGTCAAACAACATTTGCCTGTTGGGGGTTGATTGTCTCTGGAGGGTTTGCAACATTGACTTACAAACTTCGCAAGAACGCCAACGCAACCTTTGAACAAGCAAAATTTGACCGTGGCATGAAAGTTGAAGGAAAGAAACTAAAGAGACTCAGTCTACTCATTGGAGCTCTTTCTGCAACATCGGCAGTATTTTTTGTCCTGAAGATATATGAAGCAGTAAGCGGCATAACAACAAGCGAGAAATATTCTGACACCTGGTCCTGGTGGGTTTTAAAAACAGTTTTAAGAACACTGGAGATCATAAACGCCGTTGTCTTGTTGCTGGTCTTCAAAAGAAGTTCCGGCAAGATTCGAGAAGGTGGAAAATCGAATGGAACTGTGTCAGCAATGGAAAAACCGACACTGGGGAGCATCTCCATGAAAACAATCACAGACATCGAAGAAACGGAGAAATGTATGTCGAAGAAAAAGCTGTTTTCACGAGAGAACAATGCATGAAAATTGGATTAGTCGGACGACATCGCTTCGTGCATGCAAAAACAATGTATATGAAATATTGAATAAATCTCTTCGTTTAAATATATATGGTTTAGTATAGGTTTAAATAGTAAGATGATTTTTCATAGCTTATTGTAATTGATCTTATGTTTATTCTAAATAAAAGTAAGATATTATTGTCTATGTCTATGGCTGGCTCCACTTCAATTGTAAAACATCTGGTAACGCATAAAGACAAATTAGTCAAGTACGTATTACTATATTCTTGACTAGAAATACGTTATGCCTAGATATCACAAAAGAATACTCCAGCAATGCATAACTGACAAAGCGCATGCATGCAATATTGTTCGATGACTTCGGTGTCCTGACAGTGCTCGCGCATACTTGCAAGCAAGTCACAAATTTACGTGCATGTTTAATTAATATCTTATAAATTACTTAAATATAATAGAAACAGATAATATGTCATAAAACTTCGCTGTTCTCATGCACTTGCTTCGCATTTTCCCCTATTTTTTCGTTCGTAGCTATGTCCACGCTAGAAATAAGTCGAAATGTTATAACTTATAATATATGCATGAATGAATGATAGAATCTAGCATTGAATTAAACCTTTGGCTTTGTCAGTAACTTGTTAGTGAGGTCAGGCAACATTTCTTGAAAAAGAAGAAAATCATATGCACAAACTTTACTGATCTGCTTCAAGGAACAACACATGTTGTCATACAAACTTAAAATGTAATTTTTCTGTCAAAACGCCCACAGAACTCAAGAAAGTGGTTTTGTTCGTATTGTCAGCGAAATAAAGAGACTAGTACACATTATTTCAGGCTTGTTTACACAGGCTTATGCTGTATTTGCAATTCAAATAAACTTGTATCAGTATTAACATTATCTTAATTGAATAACGTCTGCTGATTGAAACAGACGGTCACCGTATGTCTACTTTAAAGAAAATTGAAATGAACAGCTCTCCACGAACTAATTTTAGAGATAAATAATATAATAACGTCGTCTTCTCTGAAACTGCAAAGGAAATATTACAACAAGTGTTGATTTGCATCATAATTTATGATCTGGAACTGCATTGCCATCGGGTAATTCTTGGAATGCCACCAACTCGTTCTCGACAATTGTCACAGGATTTTCAAGCTTGCTAAAGCTGGAATCCCAGTCTATGCGCACCGTGCTAGTATCAGGAGTTGACGATGTCAGGTTAGCATTACTTCCAGTATAAAAGACAAAGCTAAATCGATTACAGCAGCACGAACAACACACTGCTTGGCTTCCTGACGAACAACAAATAAACCTGATTATCTTTAATCCGGATTCCTTAAATCCATCGCGGAAAGGCTTCGACATAAATCCAAATAGGATAGGATTAACGACAGCATTTGAGAACGCCAACATGTTGACAGCCACGCGACGTGAGCTGATGGGATTCACATCCATAACCCCGGGCGCCGAGTCTAGAATCTCGACAATCTCAAATGGAGTCCATTGGATGACAAAGAATACTATAACAACCAATAACATTCGTAAAACCTCTTTTCTCATTCGCACCGTCAAGGATACGTCTCCAATTGAATTGACTTCTAAGCGATTCTCAAGTTCCATCAATTTCCTAGCTGATTTCCAGTACGTCACGCTGACCATAGCAAGCGGAAACAGGTACAGAAGAAGAAAGCAAGGAAGAAAGAAGAAAGGCGCCCGCGTTTTGTCCGTCGTGTGAAATTGAAAGCACACTGATTCGCCGTCCAGAGTTCGTTCCTCGCTCAAGTATACGTGGGGAATGATCAGAAACGCAGAAGCGAACCAAATGAAAGCAATAATTCTTGTTTTACGTTTCTTAAAGTCATCGTACTGAATGGGGTAGCAAATCGCAACGTATCTTTCTAAGCTTATTGCTGTCAGAGTTAATATCGAAGCGGCATAGAAGAAATATAAGGACGTCCTTTGTATCTTACAACCATAATCTCCGAGCACATACGTAGCAGAGAATGTTGCCACCGCTTCGAGCGGTGTTAATAACGCTAATAATAAGTCTGCAATCACGAGATTTGTTAAGAAAGCGTGTGTTAAGGTTCGAAGTTCCGGCTTCATGCGAAGTATCCATAACGCTAACGCGTTTCCAAACACAGCCAGAATAAAGAGCACCACATACAGAATAAGCGCCAATATATGTGTCCACAATGGTAAACGATCTGGCGAAGTATCGTCCTCCGGTTTAACAGTTGTCAAATTGACCATACTGCGACAGAGCTTCAATTAACATTCACGGTGTATGTGTTGACTTCGATAAATGAAATACACCGTGTATCGACATATTAGGATCAAAAGATATTTCAATAATTATTACGCCTTTGGCACGACAATGCATACGTAAACATTCTTTTACTATAAACGATGTTGATTACCCATCATTACACTAAAATTCTTTGTCTTGTATGTGCGATTAACAACTTTTACGTAGCGACGACTTTCTTCAATTATTTCCTTGTTTGACACCAAGCTATTAAACAACTGCTGTCGTTAAATGATGGTTTTCACTTGAGGTGATGAAACTCGAACACCACATGTGGCGATGGTCGACCTCAACAGGTCAGCATTTTCAATAACATTCCAAACATTCCATGAGAGTTTCTGACGTATCGCCCTCCTTTACAGCGGAACACAAATTGCGTATGCAAATTCATCATTTTTAGCAAGACACTAAAGAAACAGTTCACATCACACAAAACACACTTCAAAATAACACAATTTATTTTTTCCAAAACTTTCCATAAAACACACAATACCATGGTGAATATAATCACCAAAACCTGTAAAAGACACCATCCATTACAAGTTAATATTCAATACAATATTAATTATGTATGCGACACCCCACAGTGTACGAACAATGTCTAGTCAAATCTTCTCCCTTCCTCTTCAAAGGATACTATTAATTAAAACATATATGCTTTTCCGTTAAACTCGTCTGTCGGTAGACAGAAATATCTAATGTGATCATAAGAAAAAGAATAGCGTCATATATAAAGCCCAGGGAGAATACGAACGCCACTATCTGCCAACTAGTTTGAGGATGAAAGAAGAAATGGAGGTTTCATAAGACCTCCCAAAAATCTGTTGCAATATGCACGAAGTTACTATGGAAACACTACGAAGGAATGACCACCTAAGGTTATCTATGCAGCCAATATCAGGCGAAAACACAAACGTGGAGAGAGAAACTACGAGTCTGTTATAGTCGTCGACCTTCAAGCGCTGACATACTGCAACTGCAACAATTTCAACTATACATATGAACTAAAACTATGAAACGTTGCCATGACGACCATCAACCGATGAAATGAATGAATGAATCCGAATCGACACTTCAACTATATCGAAGTGAGTTCTGTTCTCGGGAAAAGTTCTCATTCAATGATCAAAATGCAGGATTGTTGTGAGCTCAGTCAGTGAAATCCCTGGCTGCAGTCAAGGCCTCGCTGTGCGCAATGCTTATACGTCTATACATAATATAATACAGTTCATACTCGTATTTGTCTCAAAATGGGGAACACTCAATCTCAGGGTTTCATACTATCCTGTGAAGAAGCTGATATCCACATCCAAGGCTCCGCCACGCGGTGTTTGGGCCATGCAGAGACGAGACGAGAAGCGTTATTTCAAAGTCAACTTTATAGCTTCTTTTTTAGCTGCTACGACTTGATTCTGCGGCACTTCTATCCCCTCCGGTAACACGTCTACCTACATAACAGCAGTTACACCTTTTAATTTGACATTTTGAAATACCCTGAGGGAGAACGGGGGGGGGGGGGGGGGGTGTACAACGAAATCAGAGTAATCGCTTCAAATTCGGGCATACAGGTCGACAAATGACACGTGTGCATTGCGTGCATCCCCCCTGCTTCTCAGGTTGACCATACATAATCTTATAAAATGGTGAAACGTATTCTTTGTTGACTATTTTAAGTTTCATATCATAAATACGACCTGTTCTCCGGGTTTAAATTGCCTCTTTTTCTTAATTCCATCTTCTTCGGCAGATTCCTAGAAAATAAATACTGGAATCACAATACCATAAATTTTTTCAAAACATTGTAACTTTATTTATCAACATACATCCGTTGTGGACTCCCTTCGCCTCTTCACCCCAGCAATACTCGCCAATCCATTCTCATTAGCCTGCAAAAACCCGAAAGACGTCTCCTGTTAACAATGCAGATAAGAACATGCAGATATCCTACTCGGAACACGGAAAAATTCTGGTCCAGAATACCAATAACAAACTAGGTTAAAAGTACCTCCAAAATCTTCTCTTCTACACAGGAAGATCCGTTATCATCTTTCTTTTCTTCGATTTCTAAAGTACGAAATATTTCGGATTTATACACTTTTTAGACACCATAAACACCATCAAACAATATGAAAATTTAGCTTGACCTTCACGACAAACTGAAAATCGCAATTTGAGGTGACTTTCACTCATTCTCACCAGTTATCAACAAAAACTTATCATTTATCCACCAACAACAGTGACTCCGGTTTTCCGTGAATGTCAAGCTTCATTATTAGAAATTTACCCGTAGATTTCTGTTCATTGTGGACATCACGGCTAGTGTCCTCGCTATTTACAATGTCACTCTTCTTTTCCTCTGCGATCTTTTCTACACCGTTCTGAAGAAAGATAACGAATGATCGCCATCAAACATCATTGCTTCACGATACTTGATTCTATTAAACACCAACGCAAAGTATACAAAGCGACTTACATTCGGAAGAAGTGAACTTTTCTTTTTTAATCTTAAGATACTAGAAGGCAGGTAATCTGACAATTGTTTTCTGTGAAAAGACGAATTAAATATGTCACGTTTCAGCTATTAAAATGTATCTAAAAACACGGATAAAAAAAACACAAACTCGTGACATGAAACATTCATAATAAGGTCAGGGTCAAATTGATTTTGAACCGACTTCACTTTAGTGTTTACTAACTTTTTAACATATTTTACTTCTGTTTTCATTCCTTCTTTGAAAATTTCAATTGTCACAGCACGATTGTGAACTAATGAAAGGGGAAACATCAAATTAATAGCACAATATTTATACAAGGAAAATGCGAAATATCATCTGCGCTTACCGATATTTGTGAAATATTGAATGTCATAAGTTAGGTCGAGTGCGACGTTCTCTAAAAGCAGGAGAAGTCCATTTGTTTTGAGTCGTTTCACGTTTGACACAAATAATCATCGCCACAACAACAGTTTTTATATAAGACATTATTTTACCTGTTTTTTCAAACGACAATCCTATGAACCATCGACTGATACAACAATCTTTGTCAGGATTTAGTGGAGGGTAGTGTTTGGGATTGACATGAGCTAATTCTATGTATGGTTTATTTTCTAATTGATTGACCAGCAGTCTTACTTTCGATTCAACTAAACCAGTCCTGAAACAAATTAAACATGCTGTCATTTGTTCTTATGGCAAGGGGAATGACGGACAAGGGGAATGACGGGCAAGGGGAATGACGGGCAAGGGGAATGACGGGCAAGGGGATTGACGGACAAGGGGAATGACGGACAAGGGGAATGACGGACAAGGGGAATGACGGGCAAGAGGAATGACGTGCGAGCATTCAAAGGATCAACTTGCAATGCATGCATCTACTTCAGCACCTCGCTCTGTCTAATGCCAGGCAAATTTACTTGTTCACTTATTTACCATGCAATATGATCCTCTTCGTTGGCAGACAGCGCACTAAGAACAATATAATGTCTAAAAAAAAAGAAAAAAATATTACAACAAAAACACGAAAATCATCGCTAAATTGATGATCATGTCATTTAATTCAGTGCAAACCCCAACACCAAATTGGCTACTGTTCCTCGCAAAATCTTCGCTACACTTGCTTTATGAAGGTTCAAGTTGGGTGGATCATATTCACCAGTATATTTACTTACCTGTATTTGAGAAAAAAACTAGGAGGTGTGAAAAGTGCATGCCAATCAGCTTTTCCAAAATAAATATTCTGTACAGTCTTGAGTCCTGAGCAAAGAGAAATGTATTCATTAATTTGCTGGTCTGGAAAAGTTAATAACAAAACATGCTACAGTATGGCTGGTATTTTGGGATCTAGATATTTAATGTTCTACCTTCTTCAAATTCATCTTGCATAATTTTCTTGGTTGAGGCGGAGACGTTGTATGTGGAATTTTGTTGGGGATACGCTGGAGTGATGATTGGCATCAAGTGATAACCATCTGCTGGTGTTATCTAAAGTGTTCATCAGATCAGGAAATAGTTTTGCCAGTCAGTTTGGTTTCAAAGTTTAGTCTGGTAATTCAGCGGTTGGCCCATTTGATGATAAAAATTTACCTTTGGATTCCAGACAGGATAGCTTAGTTTATTCTCAGTGGACAATTCTTTTAATAAAACTGGATTTGGCCACTTCCTGTGTGGAGGAGAAGATAGTCTTGAAGAAATATACTATACAACTTGACAATGGCATTCGTTTGTTTCATAAAATGGTATATATCTAGCTAGGAATTGGACTGACCATTTTGAAAAAACTAAGAAAAACTTTTCTACAAGAGTTGATGCTGCAGCATTTGGATAAAGCTGGCAAGTTCTTGCAACCAACATGGCCCATGAAACACCACCAAGAAATCCAAGAACATTGGAATACACACCATGTTCTGAAATATCAATAAGAAGATAATCACACACAGGATTAAACAGGACTGACAGGATCATAAACAGGACTGACAGGATAACACAATGTACTCACTCTTGGCCCATAGTTTAATCACTCGAAGCGTGAGTTTGAACGACTCATGATTAGGGACTAATCGTAGAATTTCATCTGTGACTCTGCAACCTTAATATAATTTAAAAGCAAAAATTGTTAAGAGTTACCTTAATGTGTTACCTTACCTGTAAGCTAAATACAACAACAAATAGAAACTACCGAGGGCTCTTACCATTCAAACTTTTGACACATTTTTGATCTAAATTCTTCAGTAAGCTTTCATCAAGCAAATCAAGATTGTCTGGTACCTGGGCTAGAGCTAGTCTTGCAAATAACAAATCCATCTGTACAACAAAAAGATTCAAAATTCAATGCACCATCAAACATTGTTTTGCCAGAAAAAAGAGAAGGTCACATACTTCAATTCTACAAAATTCCATTTTAATCACAGGAACAAAAGCATCCTTGATTGCCTAAACATCAAAAATTGAACTTAGATTACAGTGTTTTAGAAGTTCACTTTTGGCTTAACACAAGAGGATTACCCGTAACTCTTTGACTTCTTCATTTCCTCTCAGGATTTCATAAAAACTACTGAAGAAATCCTCTCTGTTAATATGACGTGGGGCCACTAGCAATGTATCAATATCGGCTCCTAACAAATTAGAATGTTACATGTGCAACTGGTTAAATTAAGGTATGTTTTTCAAAGATTTACCCAAATAAATTGTCCTTGGAATCTATAATAGGTTGAAGAGTTGTTAATTTGGGCAAAAATGACCCAAATAAATTACCTTGAGTGTGAACACCCAGTCTGAAGGAACCAAATGTAAAGATTTTTCCTCCAACTTGGTCGATTAAATTTTCAGGAATATTCTAAAAACGTTAGTAGACAATACAGCACACATCAAGGATAGGATGTTCAGAAAAGGAAATAACAGAACTAACCTTCTCCAAACTTAGCTGTTTAATCCACTCTTTAACTATCGTATTCAGTTTGGCTAATACAACCATTCTGAAACAAGGAACAAAATGTTAAATGGGAGTGTTATGGATAATCCAGGATTTTGACAGGTAAGAAAGGAACAGGTTCACATTAACACATAGTACAGTGTATATATAGTGCATACGTAGAGTGTGTGTAGCCTGTATAGTGTGTATACTATGTTTTAGAAATTATATATTAATGACTGAAACATAACCAGTTGTAATACAGAAAAAGCTATACAAAATACTGATCCTTCAGCATGACTGGAGTTTGCAAGTTCTTATACCACACTATACCATGATATCTGCTAAAATCATCCCTTAACTATCATCAAAATCCAAGGAATTGGAGATTTCTTAATCTCTGATTTCATGGTATAGCAGGTTGCCAAAAAATGGTCAAACTAATCTGAGAATACATGCCAATAGCATAACCTTTGAACATTGTTAAATGTGACCTCTGGGTTGTATATATAAACCTCTCTAAAAACACATTTCACATTGTTCTGGCCAAGAGCCAATAGACAAACCTGTGCTGTAGTTCCTCTTCGCTCTCAAACACGCTATACTCTGTAAGAACATTTTTTATGTTCTCCGTATGTTGAACATCCTGCAAAATAACACCTTATTAATACAACTAAAAATAGATAGAGCGCTTTTTTTTCATTTTTAGCCCACCATTAAATACATTCATGGTTATTAACGCGTCAAAAATACCTCTGGTTTTGGTCCAGCGAGACTTATTGCCGAGGTGACACCAATAGGTTTACTATTTGCCGACGTCGTAGTTATCCTAAAATTGTTTTCAAAATTACGACTTAAAAGTACGCTTTATGCACGGTATATTCTTTTCAATCTAAGTAAAAAACATACGTTGACATCATGGCATGAAGTAGAACCATTAAAACCAACCAGGCCGTTATAAAAGACGGAGAAACCACTTGATTTTCGCCATATATTTACCCTACCAACATGGCGACTTCGTGCCAAAAAAGATTAGATCCAGTCTCCGGAAATACAGCGCATTGAATTTTGCGCAAAATCAATTTACGCACAAGAATAAATTGCGTGTGAGTTTCCAAATTAGGGCATATTCACTCTCAATTCAAGCTTGTTTCGAGAAGTTGTGCCTGAAATGAACATTTCAGAAAGAAAACGCGCTAGGCGTTATACAAACGGATATAATTTATTAGCGGTAGGAATGATTAAAAAATATTGATTGTAATTTATTTATTCTACGGTCACACGGTCCCTTCTGTCGCAAGCTACGCCGAGTTTTCAGTACTAACACTATTCAACGATAAATCCTCTGAAACTTTATGAGTGCGCACAGGCGACTCCACCTGAACTGTCCTGATTGCTGGTATCGATAAATTATGTAAGCTTGTTTGTTTCAAAAGTCTTTTATGCAAAGGTTTATCGTGAACGATTACACTTCTAGTTTCGTTTATGCTGGCAAGGGTAGCACCTTCAGTTTCACTCTGAATAAAATGATGAGTCTCTGTTGTTTTCTGAGAAACATTTGATGATTCTGTTGTATACTGAGCAGAACTATGACCTTCTGTTGTCATCTCAGCAGCGTCGCTCGCTCTCTTTCGATCTTTAAATCGTTTCACAGCTCTTTGAATGACAAGCGCCGCTTTATTCTCGAGGGCTTTCTGCTTGACAGTTGAAACTGGAGCGTAGAGGTTTCTCCTTGGAAAGGCTTTCATAAAGCGCTCTTCAAGTCTCTCCATCACCACAGAATAACCACTCCCGCCTTTTGGAAACTCTTTCAAAACTAAATGTTTCACTAAAGCATGAAGTAAGTCTAAACAATGCACTTTGTCTCCAATCCTCAGAGATATGTCCATCGTCTCCACCCCGCCTGTGCCTGACTTGGGCACCCGCAATGGGGGGTTGAGTTCGTCGACAAAGTCCGACAACTGCTCGAAGTTTATGTACTCGGTCGCCTTCGGGTCGTAGAGCGCCCATTTCGTATAATACATATCCAAGTCGTCGTCTGTGATACCGACCTTGGCTTTTTTGTAAATTCTATTAAAGTTTTCAAGTATTATGGCAATGTACATGTTGACCAAGATAATATAAGTGACGGTGACGAATGAAACGAAATAAATCTGTGCAAACAGCGGTCTCCCACAGTTCCCGTTGTTGATACCGAGGTAGCCTGGGTCACAATCTGGCGTACGTATCATAAGCGAGTCCAGGACCTCATTCCATCCAGCTGACGTCATTAAACGAAACAGTAGCACGAAACTGCGTATGAACGTTTCAAAGTTCACGACATCGTTCAACGCGCCCGTTTTCTTTACGAAACCAAACGAGGTCATTCCGACGATGGCGTATATCGAGATGATAAGGACGAGTAAACAGCAGATATTGAAAAGAGCGGGAAGAGAAAGGACAAAGGCGAATGTCAACTTACGGATTCCCTTAGCAACTTTTATGAATCGGAGAAGACGTGTGACTCGAAACGCCCGAATACCACGAAGTAAACTTAGGTTAATGAACTCGAAATTCTTCAGAGCTTCTAGAAATATGCCTATAAAGTAAATAAATAATAAATATTACACCTAAACGACCTAGGGTTGTTGCAGTAGGGAAATCAATCATGCAGTTCTAAATTCTCTTTGATCGTTCATCGATGTGGTGTGAACCCAAGAGGAGACCTTAAACTAAACTAACCGCCTTATCTATGCCGGATATTTCTATCAATTCTGAGCTGTTTTGTCTGAAGAGCTAGCCACAGTTATCCCTTATACTGCAGGAAAAAACTTCTCATATAGTTCTATCTGTTCCCCTCTAATTTGGCTACAAAAACTCTCTACTATATAGGGCTCAAATTGTAGAAGAACATTTTTTTAAGTTATTCAACAGCCACAATCAGAAGCAGATAGAAAATGGGCAACGTTAAATATAGCTTACCCACAACAGATAAAAGAACGAGGATAAAATCAAAGACATTCCAACCAACGCGAAAGTAATACGGACCAAGAGCTGTAATTCTTGCGATCGCTTCTCCGATAAAAATTCCCGTGAAAAAGTAATTCAGGAAATGTGACCTTAGTTAAGGTAATAATCACTCAAAATAAACTAATAATTCAGTTTGAAACTAGAAATCGCGTGGTTAGTAGTTGGTTAAGGATTGGGGTCAGGTTTAGAATTAAAATCAACTGAAGATGATATTCCTAAATTCTGGACAAAGAAATCACTACCATAAACTCTAAGTAAGAATTACTACAATCATTGACTCTAACAACTCACTATAACCACTATCAAAGGATATCAAGAGCTTCACTCATACGTTGACTTTGGTCATAGTGTTGTATCATCATTGTTCCCATATTTAGCGCAATGATAAACATGATGGTCATTTCAAAATAGTTATTTACCACGATGTCAAAAATGATCCCACGAACCTGATTCTAAAAACACATTGATCGCTGGTAACTTAAGATGTTTCATAAATCGTTGAATGGTCACCATACTTCATTAGCAACAGTAGGTTCATGACCATTTCATACAAAAATTTTCTTCGTATGTTTCAAAAGCACATGAAAAGTTACTTCTATTCTATTCTTGTGATGTATGCAATAGCTACACGATTATATTTTAGTTGCTGACAAATATGCATGCATGAACATTTATTCCTTATACTATAAAAAATCCTACCTTCGGCCTTTCAGCAGTTCTTTTTGGCTTTTTACTTGCAGCGTTCTTTAAGGTATTTAACCAATCTATCTGTTGAGTGGAGAGAAATATTCCAGTTGATCCAGTATCCTCGTAGAGTTGCTTCATTCGAGAGAACTTATCAATGATCACCCCCACGATAAGATTGAGAACGAAGAACGAGCCAAGGATGATGAAGACCACGAAATATATGTATGCAGACAAATTGTTTTCAGGTTTGGGCTGTTGATCCACCTACAAAAAGCAGATTTTAATTGTACTATTGCAGCGTACGAAATCCTTCATATCAAATTCATGAGGAATACATCTTGGGGGAATTTTCAGTTCACAATAACGAATTAAAAAGCCTATACCCCAGTCGCGTCAACAGCATCTTTCATAATTTCCATCCAACCTTCCAACGTTGCCTAGATGATGATACAGAACAAAACCTCAGGTATACCCCGATGGGTCGGTTTCACTTAGACGATCCCGTGTTCCAGTGGCGGTAATAAAATCAACAATTTTGTACAGTGAACCTACCACTTGGGACAAGGCAACCAATCCCTCCAAAACATTATCATAATTCACGTTGGAGTTTTCCCAACGAAATCCTTTCTGTAAACACGTGGTCTTGTTGGCGACCTGTGACACCGGGAGGACCTGGTGGCTAGAGTCAATGCACTTGTAAAATTTCCCGCCAAACAGCTGGACGCCCATGATACTGAATATTAACCAGGACAGCAGACCCACTAATAAAACATTACTAATGCCAGGAATTGCGCTGAACAGCGAGCCTATGACTATCTAAACAAAATAAAACGATAGAAGATAAATTAGAGGAACCATTTTATACTGGATAGCGATAGAGCTTTAACAGCTCTTCCTAAAGCTTAAGTAGGATAATATTTTTTGATCCAGTCCTACATGAGAGGAAACATGAACTGAACTAACTTTGTCAGTTCTTTCTATAAGAGTCTAGAGGATCATTTATGGATCATCTACTTGGACAAAACTAACTTTATACCAGCTGTTGAGATCTATGTAATTAATATAATAATAATGTCGAACTGATGAGGCTTCAGCAAGAGCTAAAACTATTCTTCAACGCACCTTCAGTCCTTCAAAACGAGAAATGGCTCGCAAAGGTCTCAATGCCCTGAGGGTTCTCAATGAACGAAATGCAGCCAAATCTGAGCTGACAGTAAGACTAAGAATGGATATCTAAAACAAAGCACAGGAAAGTATTTACTGTTGTTCCCAGGTAGTTCTGAGTCGTGCAGAATTCTGGCTCCATCAGACACTGTACTCACAATCACAATAGCGAGGTCCAAGTAATTCCAACCATTTGAGAAATATCGTACGAAGCCAAGGCCAATCAATTTAAGAAGAAATTCCATTGAAAAGATGACAACAAATGAGATATCCAAGCAGTATAAAATATGTTGTAGATCTTTGTCGTTGCGAAGGTGAATATCTTCAAATGCCTAAAGAAAGAATGATACTTTCAGGCACCGTCTTTTGATGGATGAGAACGAGTGAATAAGTCTTCAATATCCAACAGGAGAACATAAAAATGAGATAATTCATAATAAAATCGCTCGTTCACATCCATCAAAAGTCATTTACAAAAACAAGCGATTTATAGATTTACCAAACAAATGCTGCTGATTGTAATAATGATCAAGATGAACCATTCGAAGAATTTGCTTTGAACAATTTGTTCAATTCTGCCACGAAAACTCGACCAGTGTCTCTCCAATGCTGAAGATGTTTCAGAAGAGTTGTCTTGTGATGAAGCATTGTTGTCAACTGAAAATTGTAGAACGCTGTTCTTAGATGATTGTACATGGTGTGTTGTGGTGTGATATGATGTGATATGTGGGGTTGTGGTGTGATATGATGTGATATGTGGGGTTGTGGTGTGATATGATGTGATATGGTGTGTTGTGATATGGTGTGTTGTGGTGTGATATGATGTGATATGTGGGGTTGTGGTGTGATATGATGAGATATGTGGGGTTGTGGTGTGATATGATGTGATATGTGGGGTTGTGGTGTGATATGATGTGATATGTGGGGTTGTGGTGTGATATGATGAGATATGTGGGGTTGTGGTGTGATATGATGAGATACACTAGGATGAAATCTGCTATGGCACAGGTAAATCCTATGTTATATGATATATCAAAATCCTATTACATTAGAGGTCAGACCTGTTTCGTTTTCATTATTTTCAGGTAGCGTGGAAATGTCTTTCTCGTCCTTAGGATGGACTTGGGTTCTTTTTAAAATATTCACGACGGAAAACGACACAGTTAAGGCCGATTTTAACATTTTTGAGAAAACCTTCTCCCCTGGCTGAGAAACGGCCGTATCTTCATGCGAGAACGAGTTCACCACAAGAGCTAGGAACAGATTTAACACCTGAAAGAAGAATTGTTAAATATGAGTTAGTATATCGAATCACATAGACAAAGGTGACTCTCTCTCTCTCTTTCTCTCCCAGGCATATGGCTATTTTGACAAGGCGTGGTTTCTTTTTGAGAAAAGTGTCTAGAAACACAAAATTTCTCCAAAACAAGGCAGGTATGGTTGTCGCTACTTACAACAAAATTTCCCATGATGAAAGCTGGAACAAACAACAACACAGCACCAGGGTGCGAAGCTCGCATACAGTCCCACAACGGCTCGATCCATTCCCCACAAACGACGCGAAATATGAGCATGAATGAATGACCAAAGTCAACAAAGTTCCATCTTGGTATATCAGAACCAAAGACGGACTCTGTGTAGCTGTCGCCAAACAGTTGCATTCCTGTGACGGCAAACATGTATAACACGATGCACATCACCAGCGCCAGGTTTACAAACGCGCTTAAACTCTTTGCTGTGGCCGAGAGAAGATTGTTCATGGTCGTCCAAGATTTAGCAAGCTTTAGCACACGCAACTGAAAAAAAGGATGAACTAGAAGTTACTTTCGTAAGTGAAATGTCGAGAGGTGCAATTATTTAAAGAATACATTCCTAGTTAATTCAGCCTTCATCCGTAACAACTGTGAGCAAAACTAACTCTCGTTAAACTAGATAGTTTTATGCTATACATCCTGGGACCAGTTGTATAAAAAGACTAGTTAACGTTTAACTGTGGTTAAGGAAGGAAATTGCCAATCAAAGTCGTGTCTTTCTGAGTTAACTGGGTTAGGATCATCTCTCGTAGTCAAGGACAGATTATTAAAACAATGTTGATAATTTAACGGCTTACCAGTCTGAATGTCCTGAGCACGCGCAAACCAACACCAGTTTCTCGACTCAACTCCAGCGCCACGTCAACCACACTGATGACGACGACGATAAAGTCGAAGACACACCAAGAATTGCGGAAGAATGCTTTTGCACCAAATGCTATCAACTTAAAAACAACCTCAGCGAAGAATATACCAGTAAATACCTAGCGAGAGAACAGATTTTAATCGATGTGGTTGGAGCTATACAGTCCACCATGACTTGTTTTAGTTCATAATTTACTGACATAATTAGTTGGTCAAGTTAGTCGACTATTTTCTTACATAATTGGATATTGAAATGACAGAATCCAACGTGGAGGACATGCCATAGTGCTCTGTTGCCATAACAACCGTATTCGTCACAATACAGACAGTTATAAATCCCTCCAGTTCTCGGCTGCTCACTAAATTGTACAACTCCTTACGAAGAGAAGTGTTACTCTTAAAGTTTTGAAAAGACGACGACTCATCTTGATTGGGCGCCCTGTACTCAAGTTCGCGCAGTTGGTAAATGTCAGCGGTACTGTCCAAGGCTATTTCATAACTTTTTCTCTTATGAGATCGCTTATCAATCTCCTCGATATTAGAGTTCAGATCCCCCGGCTGTTTCCCGCCAAGCTTGTTTGAACTTCCTGGTACTGTGAAGGCTGAGACCGCTGTAGCCAGAAGATCGCCATTCTTGGAGTCCTGATAGTTAAATGAAGTAAAGAAGTAAAGAAAGAAACAAACTAAACGTCTTTTTATCTTGTAAACACGACTTTCTAGTTATGAAAACACAAGACAGTTGAATGTGAAAGTTTTATTTTGACCGAGGCAAAATTTATCAAGAACTTTTACAAACTCTCAAAATTTTTGCCAAATCTCACCACATCTGTCACCAATAATCTGTTCATTTAAATAATCGTCAGTTCATCATACATACCTCTTCGCTGGTAGCAGTAGTCTCGACTTCATACGAGGTAACAACAACAGCAGATATCAAATTAATCAAGTAGAATGGCCCAAGAAAAACCAGCACAGCAAAGAAAAAGAAATTCCACAATCCTGCAGCGTAGGTAACCTTTGAACAGAAACAACCGCAAAGTCAGTCGTAAGGTCGAAATGAAACAAAGCCAAATGGTAGAAAAAAAACTTACATTGTTATAAACATCCTCCCAGAAATCCAGGGTGAGGAGCTGGAACGAAGTGAGAAGGGCCCAACCGACATGATCAAACGATGTGTAGTTGTGGTTAGGATTTGAACCAGTGTCTGTATAACAACTATGGTTACTTGGACATGATCTAAAATGATCAATAATAAACAATTATTGGATGAGGTTTTTGTGATATGCAGAGTTATCAAGGTCGAGGTAAGTGTTATCAGCCGAGCCGAAGGCGAGACTTTGATAACCTAAACGGGCTGTAAAGTGTTGCTAGAGGTTTGAGACATTAAAAAAAAGTTATATTGTTTTCACCTTGCGGATGATGTACTCCCGCACACAACTGGATTTCCATCCGAAATAAACCATGTCGCTAAAATAGCAAAGGAAAAAAATGCAGGTTTTTGTCTCGCGATGCGATTACCAGTCCTTCCCACAAGGATGAGAGAAAGGTAAATCATTATTCAATGGACGAAGAAAATTGTTCCACATCTTCAGGACATACGAGGCAGAATATCGAAGTCAACAGCAGGAACAATATTCACAACTTACTTGAATTTGTGACATAAGTAGTGTAAGATATATTGATGTTTTCAGGGATTGTTACGGCGCATTTATTTCGTAGTTCACCCATGAACAACTGCATTCCGAGCAACGAGAAGACACATAGAAAGAAAACGATAAGAACGAGGACATCTGACAACATTCTCATCGAGACCAAGAGAGTATTAACCATCGTCTTCAGACCTGGAAAACAAAACGTGTTTGTATCACTGTATATTGTCAACACCGTGTGCAAGTTGCTGATAAAAGTTCTGTACCTTTTGTCTGAGAGATAGTTCTTAGAGCTCTCAAAACACGAAACGTTCTTACACCAGAGAGGTTGGCAACATACGGCGTTATTGTCAGCCAACTAAAATTGTGGAAAACACAGAAAAACGGTTAGGAAAACGTTCAAACTGATTGGTGACAAACCATTCTTGTACACAGTCAGAGAGCGCCGCACAGACGCAAGGCTCTGGTAACGGCTGCTATAGTGAGTGCTTGGTTGTGAGTTCAAGAATGGTTGCGTGCAGACGTGTCTTAACTCACCCTAATATGACAACGACAAAATCCAATACATTCCAAGCGTCACGAAGATAGGCGTGTTTGTGCAGCGCAAAACCTCGAGCTATGATCTTTATGAACATCTCCAGCGTATAGAGACAGGCAAACACATATCTGAGAGAAATATTGATGAAGATGTTTGTTGTGAATACATGGAAAAAGAGAACTTTAACAAACTAAACGATAAGTTCCGGTTTCAAACCATGTATCGTCCCCAAACTGATCTATACTCTTATACAAGACACAGTCGTTTCTTCAACTTACTCTGGTTGCTCTGGTGGGTTTTTCAGTGCCAGAAAAACACAGTTGGCCAATATGAGAAAAAGAATAAAATACTCAAAATATCTAATAATAGTTAAAGAACATGTAAGCAACGACACAAATATTATCAACCCTTATCCTACGAATCACCCGATCATATCTACCTTACCTATCCCGACTTTTCTATCCTGTAGTATCCTTTCTTATTTAGTTTCATCCTATCTCATCATATCCCATAATATCTCTTGCCTCAATGAACTTAATTCGTCCTCGACTATTATTCTACCTTGCACTCCACTCTGTCCCCGAAACACAACATAAACCTCTTTCACTTTGCTATGCATTTCATTGCAATCTCTTTTTAAAGGATACATATTACTCGATAGCAAAATACAAAAATTTCTCAATGGATGTTTATGATGAAATAAATATAAAGATTTAGCCTTGCTGAAGCGTCGCACCTCGAACTTCCCACGCCGTTTAACAAGAACGAGAAACGTCTGCGGAAAGAAACAAGAAAATACCAAATTAGCTGTGAAGCAAAATCTCTCTTGTTGAAGATATCGTTGCTTATGGTCTATTTTTAACGGTATCTTTAGGATAGGAAACATTTTTGTTAAAATGAGCAATTCTTCCTATCACTAATCGGGTTGAATCATTAAAAAAGTAATTAATCATGCACGTTCATGAGAAAAGCATTAAAATGATCTGACACCACCACATACATCGTCGTTTTGTGGCCTATTTTCTTTCGTTTTGTTAGCTTGGCTGACACTGTGTTTTCGTTCCCGCTCCTCCATAATGACAGCAGTTATATGATGGCGACTGTAAACCTGGGAAAATATTTGCTAAATAAGTTTTGATCACAATCTTTCACCTGCGCGTAGCTATGTTTAAACACAAACAAGACAGTGCATTAGTCAGTATTATTCAACAGCTTTTTACGTCATTCTATGCATGAGCATCGAGTTTCTATCATCCTCTTCGTACACACAAAACAAGGCAATATCGGCAGGTTAAACATGTCGATGAATTTCTGCCTGTTACTGTTAGCACGCAAATACGAGACCAACATAATTCTTTTGAAAACGTTTTCAGTAAATGGGCATAAACTAAAACATTGCAACCTGTCGATATATAAACATTATTAAAAATTCGTAAAAAGCATCTTCTAAGTTGAAATATGCAAAAAATACACTGGATCGTCACGTCCGAGATGCCTTCTTCATGTAGCTCTAACATGGAGCACGTAAACATATTAATTTAAACAAAATATTCTATATACCAAAACTGGGATTATGACGTTTAAAATTTCTTTTATTTCAGATACAAATAACAAGAGTATACCGAAATTTGCATTGATTAAACACTTTATTTTCTACAGAATCCCACAATTACTTCGCACTAAATTGACCTTCAGACAAGTGTTCGACAATGTCTCTCCAATATCTTCTTTTTACATGCGGTTTTCGTCTTTATGTAAACATAACACATACAAAACAAACGAATGGCTCACTACACAGGATTTCCCGGGTGAGAAAAATAAAGCCTTTCATAATTTTTCACACATGACAACAAATGAAATAAATGTTAAAATGTAGCAAGTTGATAGCAAGTTGTAGCAAGAAAACATTATTCATTTAAATGTAGATTTTTTTGACCGCAGTGTATGTAATCTCCTAATAATTCGATGAGTTGATATAATGTTTAACAGATAAAATTGTATCGGGCTCTAACTATTCTCGTTCAAGCTAAAACAACTACGGTTCAACGTTGATAAAATAAACACACGTTACTTTTACGAAAACCAAGCTTTCGTTATTGGAACTTACCAGTTTCAACGTATTTCTACCCGGCGTTCTTTAAAGCATATCATAATCAGTACCCGTTGAGAATTAGACAGAACAAAATCCATACATAAACAACGAATATTGCGGAATTATTTGACAGCCAAGCCAATAAATCAAACGTTTCGAGTGGAACCAAATTCAAACTTGCAGAATTGTATGTGCACGGATATTTTCGGCTCGTTATAATAAAGTTAGGCAGCTGTTCCTAGGCGCTGGAGAAATTACCCGCGTGTTGGCGATTCTCCGAGTTTGCGGTTTGTGTGAGTCTTCCTAGACAAACATACGTTGAACCGAAGAGTGAAATTTTAATTGCGCGTCAGATCCGAAATAATTAGATATTGTTCGTGAAACAATAATAATTCATGGCTTTATACTTGCAAATATCAATTTGGGAAAACGTGCGTGTCGTGTTTAATAAAAATTGATCCTGCATGACGGATGGGAAGCTAAAAATTACGAGCAAACTTTTGCATGGTTGAACCAGAAGAAATCTAAAAGTAATTATAATATTTACTTTGTAAATTTCCTGGCGATAAAATGTGTAAAATTAATATATATAAGGGTGTCATTGCCCTCAATATGCGATCGCTCTGATTAATTAAGATACATCATATAGATCGTGTTTCCATGGTAATCCAATGACGTGTGCTCTACGAGAAAGGTTTGGGAACGAAATATAAATTAAATATTGAGATGTATCGTTCCCCGAGCCCGGGTCCAGGTTCGTTAGCCCGGGTCCGGCAATTTTGCCTCGCCCAGGGGCCGGTTCGATAAGTCAAAATGAAATAATACTCTTACATCTCTCTTGTATGAGTCAACTTGAATTTTATGCACTGAATATGTAGTTGTAAACAGTATCTTTGTATTAAGGTTAAAAACATTTTGTTTGCTTCTTGAATAAAACGATAGAGTTGCTTTCTATTTTGAACTTAACCACCGTTTAAGCCAAACGGGTTTGATACAATCGACCCCAGAGGAAAACATAACAAAATTTCTAAATCTACTTCAATCTATAACGTCAGATAAATTTGAAGGATTCAAGATGTTGCATAAAAGCCCACGCACAAAATACCAGAGTCACGTCATATTTTCAAGATAATTTCTTATCGTTTCTGTGGTATAACAACTGCCTAAAATAGACCAAAAAACGTGCACACGTTTCGACCTATGAGATTTCGTAGTTCGTACTAACGTTCTCCAAACGAAAGCCCTTTGGTCGAAACGTTTTGACGTTCTCTGTCCGTCTCAGTCAGTTGGTTTCCACCAGTTGATGCTGCTACGGTGGTTATTTTGAAGCGTATTTCACGAAGTCAAACAACGAGAGCTCAGAAACAACTGGAGTGGTCTTTACCTTAGAGTTCAGAGTCAGGACGTTGATTTCCGATGACGCAGCACCACACGTCACGGCTGCTACAAGATGTGTCCTTATCAACGAATATCATAGTATCCAAAAATACACGTCTATTTGTGTGTTGAATACTGGGACAAAATAAATTAAATATTACTTACTATTAATAGCAACGCTGGCACCACAAAACCGCAGGACATGTGTCGATTGACGGCATGCCCGGTGCCGCCTTACTTGGAACTTAACTGAACTGAAAAACACTTCACACGCAGACAACGTTATTCAAATAGCAAAGTAACCTCCCAGTTGGAGAGGGATTACTTCATATAATGAAACGTTTTCGCGTAAAAATATGACAGTAATAATGACGTCAAATAATATTATTTCTTTTCAGGCGAGTTATTTTCCGTTATGTTGCTATGGTCGCATCTCTCCCAACTTAAATAAGACGCTCCATTGGTTGTAGGCTTTATTAAACAAGATCCGTGGTAAATTTAAAACATGCTCAAAATATACCCATAATTGCTTCAACTGGGATAATCTCCCCACACACGTGTACCGTAGGCCCACGCCTAAAACTAAATCTTTTTCATCTAAGCTAAATCTTTTTCTAAAGCATAAAAACAGCAGCCTGAGCATTCGAACGGCAATTAGAATAACGTTTAGAATATACTAATTGTAATTAGAACAACTTTTTGGAATTCTAATTACAATCGGAAGACCGGGAATATTTTAAATTGGAATTAGAACAAGCGCTTTGGACTTTCGAGCATTAACATTCGCAAATCGCAATTGTCCGATTAGAATAAAAAAACTATGAAGTGTGCTATTGATCAGATTTAAAAATAAACACAGTGGTCGCATTTATCAGAAGACCCGAAATAAACGGCCAGGAGTACATAGCGGAGACGGAATGGCGGAAATGGAAAGATGCGGATCGAGGCGGAAAAAGAATAAAACGAGAAAGGCCATCATCACACGCTTAATGTGTTACAGAAAAACTGGCGTCAGAAGCCTTATGACGTGATAGACGAAGAGGACTTTGAAAGTACCGAGGTCCGTCCAAAGTGATTTGATGTTAAAGCGGAAACCAAGCCAGCATTACAGTAAGATTGAAGTACTAATAAGACAAGTAAGAAATAAACAGAAATGACCATAATAGTGCAGGTTAAAAAGTAATGCACAATTCGATAAAAAAATTTACCTTTTCACTTTTTAACAATCCTAGCTAAAGATTGAGCATCTAGGCTTCTGTGTATGTTACCAATTTTTAATACTACGTTCTTATTCTTATCTTGTGTTAGGAAGTGCCCTTTTAGTGATAATTTTGGGCAAAAATATACTCTGATTTTATATTCCATTTTAGCATTTGTATTCCAACCTTACCTCGCATTTAATAACACGTTTCGTTCGAGCTGAAATACGATTATATGAGGTGAGATTTGCGTTTTTAACTACACTATGATGGTAATTTATTTTTTTTTCAGTTTCTGTTTTGACGTGAATATCTTCTGACGTGATTTCTTATTGGAATAATAATCGATAAGTGGGCAATGGTGGCCGCAAATTTACATAAGAGAATAATAAATGTGATAACGGGATGATAACCATAGGATGGAAATCTGTGACGAACACTGAGAACACAAAAATAACTGACCTTTAATGCCAATGTCAACTAAGGGACAAACAAAAACCACGGTGTACAATGCTACCGCAAGAACTGAACATAACAATGAGACAATTTCCTACGATTTTATCTTTCTAACGCACGAATGTATAACAAGGTCAAACCGATGAGCTTCAATATATATTAATCTGGAGTGAGCACTTGTAATGTTTCATTTACAGTACAAGGAGAGTCAAAGATGGCGGAAGTTCTCACTCCAGATATAATATACAGAGCAAACCGGCTGTAACAATACCCATACTGCCGCGGGAAACGAACCCAACTTGGAATGAATTTGCAACGAACTTGGAATGTTATATTAATATATATTTTTTCTCATTCTATGACTTACTTTCTGAAGTACAATAAGTGAACTCAACCAATCCCAAATCGATTTGCTGCGTATGGGAAAGGAACGATTTTATAAACCACAGCATGTTCACATATAATGAACTTTTCGTCTAAAACAAAGGAACAGATATATACATAGTGAATGATTTTTGCGTTAAGTGGCTGTTTACATTACCCGCGCTTATAGTAAAAGGATTTTGAGGTATTGAAATAAGTAAATAGCATGATCCTGACAGTCGAATTGTGACCTCAACAATAGCATGTGCTCGTTTTGTTTCATAAAGACATTCAATTCCTCAAAACCACGGATAATCTTGTGTAACTGTGGTCATGTAAACAGTCTTAAACCATAAAAGGAAAAGACAAGAAACAGGAATGATTTAAACCTGTATTCTGAGAGATCATTCACACTCGGACATGTCCACCCCATAGCCAGAGAAGTAGCTATCACACCCGTTGATTAAGAGAGGGCGTTGTTATTTGTCTCTGGATATTAGAAACGAAGTTGTTTTGTCACACTTGGAGGAGGGGGAGGATATATCCCTGCTCTGAAGTTTCCGTCAGGAAAACAGAAGGGGTTTAACGCAAGGGCTTCTCTTCGTAGTGTACCACAATAATCTGTTAGACCAACGTCATTGCAACTCCTATAATTAGTTGGCCTACCCTGGGAAAAAAACTATTGGAGAAACCTTTGTATTTACTCAAAGTAATTAAAATATAGTTAACTCAAGTAAACTTATGTGAACCCAGTCAGCCCACGTATTAAAAGTGACATTATAAGTAAAATTCGTCCGCATAGAAAGCGCTTTTTCTATATATATGAAGCTGAACGACAGAGAGAATGATGCAAAAATTAACGGTTGACAATTTTTCAGCGTAGTCAACAGAAACCATGCATAAAATGTGTGTTTGTTGATCCCAATCGGTTTGCTCAAACAATCGCTAAAACAGAAGTGGGCCTTCGGAAACTTCTAGCTTGTAAATTTTACATATTGCCGGCCACCGCATTTTGCAGGCAGGACAGTGGAAGTACAGAGAAAACAGTACGACTTGACCGTCGCCAGCTGGGAGCTGGTTAGCCATGTTCCGACGGAATTTGTCTCCGTAATGTAGTGTGATTTATAATTGATTAGCGCGAATGAGGTTAGGCGTGATTTCAGATATACAAGCGCTCGTGTTTACTTTATCGAAATCTGTTTTTAGTTTTCGACTATCGCACGTATCGTCTGCGATCGATTGAACAAACAGCAGAAAACATTGAGCACTTTGGTTGAAAGTACATCTTGAGGAAAGCCAAATAAAAAAAAGATTCTTGCGGGTTTGCTCTGATTGGTCAATGCGGCGTTGAGACTAGATGACATTAAAGTATTTGGGCGTGCACCGATGCATTGTGGGATACATATATGTAAATCGTGCGGAAAAGCGAAGAGAGATTTTGTCACGACAAACGCAAGGTGTTCGACTGTGCGAGAGGGAAAAACTCGTCTCTCTGGCTTGTGCAGTCGTCATTTCATACTGGACATTACACTGAGATTACAACAGAATGGCAAAGGTTTTTTAAAGACGGTTTTAAATCGATTATAACTGCTTTTTTATTGGTGACGGTTAGTGTTGGAATGCATCGACATTTCACCGTCAGGATATTTGCTATTGTACGGGATTTATTGTAATTCTAACTCGTTTACGGAAAGGTTAAACATACCCGTTAGAAATGCCGAAATTCGGGGTGGCAGCGCAGGTTGCCATGAGGTAAGTTCGATTACATTCTTTCATTATTTCGTCCATTCAAAGCTATGTATGTTTATGCTTCCTAATCTACGCTTTCTTGACCTCAGTAACGAACACAGTACGACATAAAGCTTCGGTAATTTACTGAAGCAAAAACAACACTAATTTTTCTTTCATTTCATCACATTCCTTCACACAGCTTTAATTAAACATTTTATGTTTGAACATCAATTTTCATTACAAAAACCGTTTGGATCTTAACGGTTGTTGAAGCATGGTTCTACACACAATCTGCGTTGGCAGAGCCCCAAATTTGGATGAAAATGATATATTTCGATGGTGGGAACCTAAGATGCACTCAGAGATATAGAACAGCCAAAATACAGTTTCAAAACTAATCATGCAGCTTCACAGTTATCTGAAAATAACGAAACGCCGTTGAATTCTTTCAACTTTCAACCACGCAACATTTCAGTTCAAAGTAAAACTATCAACGCGGGAGATGTTATTTCTTTAGGCACATATAGAGAGTAAAAACATGTCAGTTTATGAAGCTGATGGTTTTTCAAGCCTGTCACTTCTTATCTCGCGTTTTGAAAAGCATTGGGGCGTTGTGTGATGCCACAAACGACCTCGATACACTACTAAAGGCAAGACAACGTTAGAAATGAAACAAGTGTTCATTCGTTCGATAATCGCGCTTTGTATAAAGTCGGACTTTTTTTATCCGCACTGCATGTACTCTCAAATTAAACCATTTTAAAGCTTTCTTGGCAACGAGCACGGTTCCTTTAAATGAAATACATGGAAAAAATTGAATTAAAAGATTTTTGTTTTTTCTGTGAAGAATATTCGGGCATTGTTTAAAAGCAATTTTATAAACTAATAAGGTTACATTGCTGATGAGAGGAACTGTTGTCAAAATTCGCGACATACAAGACTGTGTATTTTTCCAGTTTCGAAAATATAAGTTGTTTCTTTGACCATAACTGACATATCATAGCTACATACATGGCAATGAGTCGCGAGTGCCCGAAATTCGCCAAATGTTAAACTTTTTTGATTGGGAAATGCAGGCGTACATTATAAAGACGATTTGATCCACTTTGTCGGTTCTCCAGTTTAAAATTAAGGCATTTACAGATTAAAAAGCTAAAGCATTTGACGCGACAACGTCTTTACAAATATATAATTTCGATCTTAATGTGAAACAACCCCATAATACATGCATAAGAACTCCGCGCCGAAATAGGCTTCCACGCATATTGCAATAACGAATGATTTTTTTTCGAGCATACACGCTCAGATCTTATTTTCGCACCAGAATCTTTAATGTATCATTCGTGTCGTCAAACTTTCGCCTTTCACATGCTAAAGAAGCAATATAATTTATAACGGCCCTTGCCAAGGCAAAGAATAGCGTTTAAGAGCCTCGATATTTGTCATAATCACTGTCGTTATTACTGATTAAGACGACAAACAAAACCATCTGTCGAGATATCCCAAACTCTTTTAAGTATGCATGCAGATGTCTCCGTGTCCTTCGAAGCCGGAAATCTTAAATCTATTATTTCACTTGAATTTCTATATCGGAGCACAGTTAATATCAAAGTACGATCAGCCTAATACGAAATGACCTTTTTGCAAAATTTAGCCATAAAATCTGACCAAATATAATAAAAAAAATGATCTATTAATTCCCACGCGGCAAATTTAGCGGGTTCCTTGTACGTGAGTTTTCAAGCCTCGGTCATATGATAAATTTTAAATAATTACGTAGCTCATACAAAAATCAAACCTCTCAGATACAGAACGAGGCGGCGTTTAGCCAAACAAACAATGGCGAAAGTGTATAACTACTTCGCCGAAAATAGCCATTGTAGAAAAAATACTACCCTCATATTAAACACAACTTTAATTATAAAATAAAAAAAGTATTTTCAAAACTAAATGACATGCAGATGTCAGAGACGGCCCTTGTATAGTATATAGCATAAATCTACTCATTCAATTTCCGTTAACGTCAAATAGTCAATCTATTGTGCAGAAATTGATTATAGATGCTTTAAAGGATTAATATATCGCAGGGACGCTCGGAGAACAATCGGAAATTGTCGGATGGCAACGTCTAAAAAATCAGTTCGGACGCCAGTTTACGTACTTACATGTATGTCTTTCGGGATGGGCATTCCAAGACGACCAATCATTTCACACAATGAAATAAAACTATAAGAAAAAAGGTTATATACAATCTTAGTCGGAATCCTCTCCATTTGATTGATGTGAAAAAGGCATAAATGCTCAGGATAAAACGGCTGATAACTAGAGACTTTTATAAATAATTCGCCCGTCAAAGAAAAATATATATAATGCCTTTAATGGCAAACTAGGGCGGACAGGACTTGATAAGAAATAGAAATATACTTATCGGAGTGTAAATAAGTCGATGTATAAACAACACTGACATTGTACAACGCGAGGAATTCACTTGCTTAAATTTTCAATTTGGCGACCACAAAACCGTAGAATGCTCAAGCGGAATTGGCGGAATTTTATTACCATATAAAAACAATTCGTTTACATGTCTTTTTAGGCTTAAAACAAGGAAACACTGTGTTCGCTTACAACAATACTTAGACGCGATATATAACAGTATATATAAATATATTATTTCGTTATCACTAGGCCGAAACGAATCACTTTTGCTGTATATTCAAAAAACGCAGCCGGAATTGATCAGCATTTTACATCTATAGTAGTATATATTTTCACAGCTCTTAGATTATATTTCACCTGGCGATGCAAAATGTTAAAAAATACTAAGTAAAAACACAAAACGAGATTCCGTGATGCCGTTTCGTTAACGTAATTCAATCACAATTTCATTAAAATCTACCAAATGAACCTTTTCATGTGCAGATAACCCTCCTTTGCCTTTTAAACAAGAGTTTTCAGATGACAAACACTTGATTATATTGACAAACGATGACTATAATTAGACGGACAAATGACATTCTATACAATATAAGCAGTATAGTGAAGGGTATTTAAACCATGCACTTCTCAAACACAATGTGCATTTGTTTGTTTCAAGACTTCACACATTACTTGCAAGCAGGCACGCGGGCACTTTGCAAGGCACTATATATATATATATATATATATATACAATATACGACATATATATATGATATTCAGCGTGTTATATTTTCTAATAGCATGTATGCATCCAGGGCAACCAAAACGCCGGCGAGCCAGCCAATAAAATTGTGAATGCGCTCGTGCGACGCAACAGAGCCGACCTCAATTTCCCAGCATCCTTAGTTTCGACTAGGCATTCGTTGGGCCAAACAGGTGTTTCGTACAGTCTATTTGCAATTCTTTGCATGTTTACGGGCACTATTGTCATGGAGCTATCGTCGACTTTAGTTTATGGAATTATTTCACATTTCCCAGCGATTTGGATCACTTTCTTGTAGTATAAATCGCACTAAAGGAGTCACCGAACGGACAGTTGACTGGACTATTCGCCACAGCATCCCCCGACGGGGATTTAGACAACAAAATTCGCTCTTAAATGTTTTATTCGTCTCGCTAGCAGGCGCCCTGGTAATACAGAGGGGACTTCTCCTACGAAGAAAGATAACATGCAAGCTGCACAGGTTTTGAAAGCCCATCGCGAGGCTAACGAACCGCACGAAAGAAAGAAAGACGACGAAAATCATGAACGGGACGAGGGCTATGAAGATTCTGAAATCGAGGAGGAAGAAGCACTAGTGGAAGTTCCTAAATACTTACAAGGAATACCTTTAGTAGATCCACATACGGAAAAACTTGGCGAGGTATGAATTTTACTTACTTTACACATGTCTGAAATATACACACACGTCTATTCTGAGAGATATATCACTTATTCCTGATGGCGATGTGTTCAGACTGCAATTTCGTAATGACTTGAATACATTTACATATCTTTCTAACAACATAGCCTACGCGCCGTTCAAACATGTATTATTGCACTTTCGTTCAAACGAACAAAACCATACCGTTGTTCTGAAAAAAGGAAGACGTTTTATCGTTACTAAGAACGAGAATATCGGAATGGCTGCATGTTCGTTGAACAGCACAGGAAAGCGAAGGAAACATGCGTTGTTGGAAATTGTCAACAAATCTAATACGATACGAGAAAGCGGCGTTTACATAGTGTTTTGCGAGCTAAACCAAACACGGGGACAATCTAATTTTTCAATGCCGGTTTCTCATTTTCGCTAATACTGCAGGGGAAAACTCAAAATTAGCGGCAAGAAATAGACAGATTAATACGCGTTGCAGGTATACTATGCAGGTTGTATAGTGAGTGTCACTAAGTTACCTTGCGAGGAACAGTACAAAAACAGCCACTATTTTCTGTACAATTACAAGAGCAAACGAAGTGAATTTGCTGTTGAAACATCGTCACAAGCACACGATTAATAGGAAATACCAACAAAGGCCTATAGGGGGAGATGTACTACAAGCTCTGCACTCGAATCTCACAACAACATCTGCCATTTTCAAATATATTCTCCTAACTTGCCTTCCTAACCGCCAGAAAACAAAACTAAAAAAGTACGCGTAGTTTGCAAAGGGAGATTAAAACCTCGATAAAATACTATTACACCTTACGACAAGCCTATAAAGTTTTAGATTTCGATCTGAGATTGAAAAATTGAAACGAAATTATACGCTATAGCAGGAATCGACTAAGTAATGAAGATATTTTGAGCGCCAAAACATAAACATAACCAACTAACGAAACCGATGTTTGTCACCGTTGCTACGGCATATAAAATAAAAAAGATTGTCGGTGTTTCAGATTTGAAATTTGTATATATTTCGCGACACAACACATGACTAACACAACCACTGATCAATAACTTTCAAACTTAAAATAAAGTCGCTATCCATGCTGGCAGATTACAATTTGCCTTTTGGGACAACAGAAAGCGAACCATAAAAATATGTAATGCGAAGTTTGGGAAAAGCTTTAAGATATTTGAGTGATATTCTTGATTAAAATAGATATATAAGGTGACAGAATTGCATTTTGTAGTGCCCAGTTGGATGCCTATATGTTTCGTCAAGATAAATCCCGGTTATTGCGGAAAATTCTGTCCAAACATGAATGGCAAAATGCAGGAAACCGGTTCATTGTGATAAAATTAAATTTTCTAACGTTTTTTTGTCGACAAAATTGGCATTTCTGATACGGTTACCTCAACGAGAAACATGTGAAACTAAAAGACTCTATTGAAATAGACTCGCATCCCATTCGGCGAAACCTAATTGCAAGTTGAGTGAGGGAAATGAATACAACATACCGGTTACCCTCGTAACGCTACATTTTGCCTGGATATCTAAAGGAAGGGGACGTGTATGCTTGAACAGAAAGAGAATTTTCCTAAAAACCTGACCTGTTCCAGTTTCATGTTTAATTGACGTAAAAAGAGTCTCGAATCGATATTACAACTATTGACTTTCGATAAAATATTTATTTCTTTCAAGCTGTCATGGCGAGCTCATTAATTTGCATAAGGTTAATAATTTATTACGCCAGTCTTCCCTATATACGAACTGCCTTGTTACTTTATTCAGTTAAATATTCAGCTTTTGATGTTGACAGAGATAGCCCTACTTTAGGGCGAGTGAAAATGAAGAAAACAGCGACTTAAGGCTGCAAATCAGACAGAGAGTGGGCATCTTTCCGAAATTCATTCGTAAACATTTCGACCACGCATAGCTGGTACCTGTAAACGCATATTCGCATCTCAGATATACATCGAAGATAAATACTGATAAATGAAAATTATAGATAAAAAACATCAATATATACACATTTTCAGATCATAAAACATGCTTTAGATATCCATTGTTGACAATCAATTTGAAAATATATAAATTTGAGCAAGATTTATGATCATGTGATACATTTAAATGCGTAACTCGTGCGAGTACTTGTAACTTTAACGGTTTTGAAACGGCTAAATGCATCGAGATACGACACGTAAGGTTTACTTTCACACAATTTTGGCATCCGCGAAGAATGAAGATCAATGCTTGTAGAATTTTAAATAAACATAATAATACTTGCGCTAATTCAGCGATTTTCATTCACGGTTAGTTGCAAAACCGGAGAAAAAAAATTTAAAAAGGAAAAATTTTGGACACGCGAAAAATCGTGTGACTAATGCAAAGACTAATGCAAAATGTATAACGAATTCATGAATAAAGTGCACGCTGCAAATCTAGTGCTGGAAATGAAAGAGACCCAATATCACGGCGCTAAAAGCGTGATCTAGCTTCAAAAGTATACGGTTTTGCTTATTAAAATCTTAAGGAGTTTTAAAGTAATTGAGGAATAAAACGCAATGGTTTAATTATATTTTTGTAAATTTATAAGTTATAGGATCTATACGCGCATTTGTTTTGTTTAAAGAAGAAACGGGACCTTCTATTTGTTGACGAGCAGAAAAACAGCTTTGCAAATATAAGAATTGTCTGCGGCTCGTGAAAAAATTAAATTTTGAAATATTTGAACAATATGTATAACAAGCGCATAGTTTATGAGTGAACAGCGACATAAGACCTCGCAAATATTGAATATCATGTGTTTATACGCAACGTCTAATGCATATTCAAAACACTTGAAATATTTCAGAATATGAAAGAAAATATGAAGTAATCGTGTACACTTTAATTGGCGCAAACCGCTCCCATGGTTAAGTGTTTAAAGGACAGCTAGCGTACTAAATTTTAGAATTTCAATTCTGACCTCGCGATACAGGACCGTCTACAGACTTGAAGAATTTTTGACACGGAGTAAAGTTAAAAACTCGAGAAGCTTAAAGAAACATCGTTGTGTTAATGGCTGTGTAAAAAATGGCAAGAAATGCCCTAATACACATAAATTAGACGCATTGACGCATTTCATGCAAAAAAAGGATTTCTTTGCATTTTCTATATGAATAAATTCAGAATAATATGCGGACTTGTTCAGATCAAAGCTGTTTCTGACCTTCAGACTCTATCCTAAACTTTGTATATTTATTTTCTATTTATATATCAGAGAAACAATCGGTTAGATCACCTTTATCATTGTCCCTGCCACAATAGATGTTTACAAAAAATTTATCGACAACTTTTTCAAAATTGTATATGCTCTCATTAAGTTGTGACTTCGGGTAAATTACTTATTAAATGACTTTTTTATTCAAATCGAAACCTACGATAAATATACAGAAATGTCTATCCGACTGTGTTGCCGTGGCGACGGACTAAAAATAGAATTGATTCAGTAGTGATTCCTAGACGAAAAGCGACAAGGTCATGGCAACGCGGAGAGATCTTTATTGCAGGGAAGTACAAAGCTTCCGATCGACTTGCAAAATAATCTTTTTCACGGTAATGAAAAATTTATTACCACCGATAAAGTATCATTAAACATTAGCCAGGGTGCATGTTCAAACAGAAATAATCATTATAACAGTGGTTCGATAATTTTTCAGTCATAAAACATCACGTATAGTTGATGTTTCCATAAGTTTGTTTCTCAAATTCCCTATGCCTCTCTCTCTCACATCAATAAGGCTTTGGCAATTCGTTTTAACATGTTAATTTGTGCATGGGGTCGTTTTCTCAAGTCTACTAAAAAAAAATTACCATGAAAAATCGTGAAAAATAGATTATCCTAAATATGTATTTATAGCTATAGGAAAATTCGTACATGTTTTCAAACGTTTGAACAGATTTCGTACAAGGGGATTTATTTTTTTTAATTCTCGATGAACTTGTGAACTTGACAGGTCTGAGGTCTTGACTAAAACTTATGGACACTTTTGAGAGAGAAGGTTTTAAAAGTTCACACTTAATAAATGGCTTTAAATATTGATTATATATGTAACTCGCTAATGAATCGCTGACTAATGAATTGCCGTTAATGTGTTTGCAAAGGCAATGCCACGTTCCTTCTTGCTGTTGTCAAATAGAACGACTTAGCTTCAAAACATTCTACTCCCTAATTCAAGAATTCGGGTTTTTAAAAAATTCCATCACTTAGTACATGGATCGACGTATGGTCTTTCTTCTCGAAGCCTGTGTTTTGGGATTCATTTGGTTTAATTACAAAACAATAGTTTACCGCTGTGAAATCTTAGAGCTTATACGGAGGATAGTTTATATAATTAAAATAATAAGGTCATTTAATGAGTACTATATCTGAATCACCCACCGGTAAACATTAAATATTTATCAAAATGCCTAAAGTTTTCATTACCACGGTAACGATAACGCAAGAACTAGTGCGCAGTAAAAATATCACAATCTTAAAACTGTTAAATATTTAAATAACTTTCTCAAACATGTAAATATTATCTTATACACAAATATGCCGGTCGCCATGCATCCCGCAATGCAACAGTCCACTCTTGCTGTTATTCCTACAATATGTAGCAACCCGGAAATTAAAAATGAGATTTTTTTAGATATATACAGAGATTTGCGTGTCATTTGACAAGGGCTACCTGTTCGGTATGCGCTGCGACGAATCGTTATGTCGTTTTGACGCACTTCCGCTATACATGCAAATATTTCCAAAACAATTGAATTTTGAATAATTATAAAGCGATTATTGAAACCAGCCTGTCTAAGATCAAGTGCGGATATCAGATGGTGAACTGATGTATAAAAAACCTGATGATGTTGAAGTTGCCTAAATTGATCTAAACGCTAATGCATGAATAAAAGAGGTTAATAAAAAGGTGAAACATATTCAAATATACTTACCGTTACTAAACTCTCGTTTCTTCCCCATATAGACGTATACTGTTATCGCAAAAAACTTGGCTGGAATTCTTCAAGTGAACAGATTTTCGTCAACGAAATCATGTTATATCTTCAGTCCAAGAAATAAACTTAGAAAATTCACGTGTTTTATTATAACACATCAGTATCCTTTTCATACAAAAACAGCGCCTGAAATGAGAGAAATACTTCTTTTTAGATGCATCTATTCGTCAGTAAAACAAAAAATGATTTTATAGAACGATTTTACTAATTAAAGTAATCTAAATAATTGTCCTCACTTTCCTTAATTGCTTCACAGAATATTCGAACTTTTAATTTTAATCACAATTTTAACAAACTGTATCTTCTTAGCATTAAATAATCCACCTTCGGAATCAGAGTAAGCATATCAATCTGTTAATATGATCATAATTACATTCTAATTGGAATAACCTTCTCAATTAGAACACATCACTGATTCAAAAATAATTCGAAAAAGAAGATCTAATTAGATTCTTAAAAGTTGCCAATTAAAGTTGGCAATTCGAACATGGTCGATAATTGCCCATAAGTAGAGTAAAAATTCCAAATAAAATAAATAATTTATTTAGAAACATCGTTAACAAATTATCCCACTAATATTCCCTGCCTCCCTCTTCCATCTAGAATTGTATTTGCAATAATTTACACAACTGAAATGCTCCTAAAAGTCGTCGCAAAGGGATTTGCATTTCATCAATATGCGTACCTACGAAATTCGTGGAATTGGTTAGATTTTATTTGCGTCATAATTGGGTAAGTAAACAGAAATACATGACGGTGGCTTAATTCACTTCTTCCTTGCTTATGATAGAGTATACCTTAGTTCAACGATAGCAGCATCAACAAATGTACTAATTTGAACACAATTCTCTAACCCAATTTAGTTATTTAACGTTTATACCTGGGGTGTCAAATTTCTCAGTAGTTCGAACATTTCGAGTTCTGAGGGCGTTAAGAACGATATCGGCGGTAAAAGGTTAGTTCACTATGGTTCGAAAATCACATCTTTCCAAGACGTACGATGTCACTAATTTCCGTGCATTTCTGGTTTATCTTAAGGGCTAAAAGCGATGGTGAATACATTAATGAAATCAATTAAGATGTTATCGGATGTAATGATTTTAACTGTGTTCTTCATCGGAGTGTTCGCGCTCATTGGACTTCAGCTTTTTAAGGGAACGTTACGAAATAAATGTGTTAAATTTATGGATCCTAATGCAACCAATGTCAGCTGGAGTGATCACGTAGACAACAAAGGTAAATCTAACAAGATTATGGCAACCTGTATCAGGGGTAAAGGGGCGTTTACACTTGCAATTTTAAGTGCGATTTTCTTGTGTTTATGTGCGATCTTTCAAGTGTAAACGGGCCTTAAGAAAGCCGGTATTGATGGCATACAATTGGTCAGACAGTGATATGTTTCTGGAAGATACATATTCACCTGGATTAACTTCTGCGAATGTTCTGCAGAACGCCATATAGGGATATAATGCCTTATCTGGCGCTGGACATCAAAAATTGTATACTATCATAGCTGGCTATTATTCTACGAGATAAACTGACTGAGATCAAGCATGCAGGCTAAACGAATGGGGTGTTAAGTTTAATAGCGCTGCAGTGAACAGGCAGACGTGAAGTGTCTTCAAAATACAAGGTACTTTGATGTCTAAAAGATGTTGTGCGGTTGATTATTATTTCCTGTATCTTCATAGATAACTGGTTGATCAGCCAAATTAGCGAGTTTCCATTCGTGTGTGGTAATGGCACATACAGCGGGTGAGAATATTTTTTTATTGAGTAAATGCAGTAACCGACAAACTAAGCTATGGTTGTCTTGCATACATAAATTGTCTTATATACATAATTTGTCTTGCATGCATAATTTTTAATTCATGGTATCATCAATTGATAGTGGCAGCTAATAACATCATCATCTTATTCCATTTTAGTCACTGTCCTCCGAACTACACATGTCTAAAAGATATCGGAGAAAATCCACCCAAAACAGAAATTCCCTACATTTCATTTGACAACTTTCTGTGGTCGCTGCTCACGTCGTTACAGCTCGTCACACTTGATTCTTGGGAAATTGTTTACAACTCGGTAAGAAATATCACCGCTGTCGACTCGAGGGTGAAGCGAAAGGGTTGGGATGGGGCGGAAGGGTTAGGGTGGAGAGGAGGGGTTAAGTGGGATGAAGGGGCTAAGGTGGGGCGGAGGTTTTAGGATGGGGAGGAGGGGTTAAGAGCGATGAAGGGGTTAGGGTGGGGAGAAAGGTTTAGGCTGGGGCAGAGGGGTTAGGGTGGGTTGAGAGTTTAGGTTTTAGAGTTAGGGTGGGGCGTTAGGAATGATATTTGCGCGTATTTCATAAGTGATGCAAACGATGAGAATACAATCTTTCCTTCCCTAGGTTATCGGCGCAAATGGTCAAGTGTACGTTCTTTACTTTCTCTTTGTTGTGCTCCTTGGTCCGTTTTACTTGATCAATCTCGTGTTGGCCGTCGTCGCGTTATCATATGAGATTGAATCAGCCGGTTTACAAGATGAAGAAGCGATGAAACGAAATTACGAGAGTTTAAAACGAAGTGCGTCTGCTTATGATTTTGATTGCAAAGAAATGCCCGAGCCACTGTATTTGGACGATATCCCTCAAAGACCCGAGGAATCAAGGTATGTACCCAAAGACGTGGACCCACGTCCTCCCAGTCGGAACACGGCAACACCATCGTCGGACAACGCACTGGAACTTGGCGAAAATTATGAAAACGACGCCGCGGCTTCGGTAGGATGCTGTTCAGCTTTCAGGGGAAAGGTAAACGTAATAGTGGAAAACCCAATATTTGAAGGATTTATAACAGCTTGTATTCTATTCAACACGATATGCATGGCACTGGAGCATCATAACATGGACAAGACATTTAAAACCGTTTTGGACAATTGCAATTTGGTAAGTTCAACGGAACGTGTGCGAACTATCTTTAGACAAGAAAGCTAAATATAAGTTACAAACGCGAACAGCTTTCAGCCATGTTACATGTGGACAATGGTTACTAGAATACCAAGAGATTAGTTTCATTTCAATACAGAACTACAAGAATCAGATGAGACACGAATTTGTTGCTGGTTCGATCATCACACGACTAAATGGTTCTTTGCTATTTTTCCTCTAGACGTTCACAATAGTCTTTATCTTGGAGATGATTTTGAAACTGATAGCGCTCGGGCTAAAAAAATACGTAAAGATAGCTTGGAATCTGTTTGATGGAATCATCGTTTTAATGAGTATCGTTGATCTGACCATGGAACATGCCGGTGGAAGTGATGGAGGAGGCCTCAGTGTATTGAGAACATTCAGATTGGTGAGTCTATTATTTTATTTTGGGCTGAAGCGGAGTTAATTAATCGCCTTCCTCTCGTAAGAAATTGTTGAAATTTCGTCAAAACCATTTTCAACTTAATTTGCAAATATCTCGCTTGGTGTGGTTTACTTTGACACTACACTTGTCATCGTGGGCTTAAGATCTTCTAGGCTCTACATTGTGACAGGATTTTGAATAGCTTCAGAAAACTGTGGAAACAAATTAAACACGGCAAAACAAATCTCTCTATCATGTTTCTCATCACTTCCCCATACATTCCAAGCTTACAACATTCCTGTTTCCTAAAATTTCACACGCATATATTCGATTTCAGCTTCGTGTTTTCAAACTGGCAAAATCCTGGAAAACCATGGGCAATCTATTGGCAACGATCGGCAAAAGCGTTGGCGCCGTGGGCAACATAACGGTCATCCTCCTTATCTTGATGTTCATCTTTGCCGTGGTTGGTATGCAATTGTTCCGATCCTACTACACGATTGAAATATTTCCTGAGGGTATACCACGATGGAACTTCAAAGACTTTTGGAAATCGTTTATGATGGTGTTTAGAATAATATGCGGTAAATGGATTGAACCATGTTGGGATGTAATGCGGGCGGCAGGAGAACATGCCTTCATTTATGTTCTGCTCGTGTTTATTATCGGCCAGTGGATTGTTCTCAACCTCTTTCTTGCTCTGTTGCTCAGCTCCTTTGGTGGAGATTCTTTGGGTGAAGACGAGGTACGATGATAATCGATTATCGATTGATTGATTAAACGATTATCGATTGATGTGTGTAAATAATCATATCATAAAATAATATCGATAGTCACTTGAGTGATTATAGATCGGTGTATACCCATCGACGATTCATTCATTGATCATGAATTGATCGTTTCGTTATTGATTATAATTTCAGGAAAACAAGGAAAAGAAAAAGAAGAAGAAAAAGAAGTTCAGCTTGCTTGCTATATTCAAAAGGAAAAAGAAAGGAAGAGTGACTCCTAATACATCCAAAGAAGATCTTGGATCAAACGAGGATGATGACCTCAAGAAGGACCAACAGAGTGAAACAGGGATGACTATGGTCAATGGTGGTGAAACAGGGAATGGCATTCCATATAGAACAGGTAAAGGATCGAAGAGAGGTACCAATTTGTACCGCTATTCACTGTCATTGCCCAGACACACAGGATATTTCCTCTGAGAATTCTCAAGCTTTACCTACCACATTCGTCCGTTTCAGGGTCTGGGGAGAGTACGCGCAGTGAAACCGGGAGTTTAGGAAATGGAAATACAATCGACGGCGATCCTTCTCAACCATCATTTCCGGTCAGCGTCGTTGTAGACGAGACAGTGCAAACGAAGAACAATGGTATTCCTTTCGATAAGACGGAGTCCACTGATCGTTTGAATGTTGCTAATGGCAACGGGGGTCATGGCGTACCTAATGGCAACTCACACAAAGGTAATATGCGGACACGGACCCTGGACATGCGGACAGGGAGCCTGGGAAATGCGGACAGAGAGCAAACTGATCGATGAACGCCTCTCTGATTACCATGGGTCAGCATGCTCCGTGATTAACTTATTAGGTCATCAACTACATATTTTATTTCCTTCCGTTAAGAAATAACACAACATGTTGTAAATTTGTTTCAGGATCAGCGTTGGAACTTGATAGACGATTGTCTGGCGTAAGCCAATCCTCGGCAAGTCTTAGTCGACGCGAATCCGTTCAAAGCTCGATCGGGCCGGGTTTCCAGGCGCGCAACAGCTCAATTCGCGGAAGTCGACGCCCGACAATGATGGTCCAGGGTGAAGATGGTCTGCCTGTTGCACCAGATTGTTACCCTGGTTTCTGTTACAACGACGGAATCTGCTGCGTGTGCTCGTCTGGTTTCAGAACATCCAAGATACGAAAACTTTGGACAACAATTCGAACAAAGATCAACTTCTTTGTGGAGCACAAGTATTTTGAATCGTTCATCCTATTTCTGATCGTCGTCAGCAGTCTGTCTCTGGTAAGTGCTTGTTTCTTGGATGTCTAATGTTAAAGTAAACCAAATTTCTTTTCGTATCAGTTCCGTACGAATGCAAATCACTAGATTATTTGTTTGCATTTACCAAAGTTCGCGTTTAAACATACATAACATCAATCCGCATCAAAAGTTGGCTCGAAATATGATTAAAGATGTCCTTGAATAATCGTTGTTGCATTATTACAGGCCTTTGAGGATGTTTATCTGCCAAATCGTCCAACACTGAAAGCTATTTTAGAGTACTCCAATTATTTCTTCGCTGTCATCTTTGGTTTGGAGTTTCTTTTGAAGCTCATTGGCTACGGCGTTGTTGGATATTTCACAAGTTTTTGGAATTTACTGGATGTCTTCATTGTGGCTGTAAGTACAATTTTTGCATTATAACCTTTGGGAGAGCATCCATGGTTGTTACGCCCGTCAACTTTAGCCTATCTTGACTTTCAACTGAGTGACTTCACTTGAACTCCACCTCCAATGTACTCTATACTTGCCGTAAGGTTCAATCTCGTATTGATGTTTGATATCATTTAAAATTTTCAGATATCAGTTGCGACGCTGTTTGGTAACGAGAATCTCAACGCTCTCCGTTCTTTGCGTGCTCTTAGACCGCTTCGTGCTGTGTCAAAATTTGAGGGAATGAAGGTTAGGAGCTATTTCATTCTCTAACGAAAGTTGGGGATCGAAGCAACAGAGTTATAAGCACTAACTGCCTGACATTTGGTTTCTTGCAGGTTGTTATCAATTCTCTTGTGTTATCGCTACCAGCAATAGGAAATGTGGTGCTAGTCTGCATGGTGTTCTGGCTGATTTTCTCAATTATGGGATACCAGTTCTTTGGCGGAAAGTTTTACAGATGTGTTGATGTGAGCGGGCAACAATGGGATGCTTCGGATATTCCAGACAAAACGCATTGTTTAGAGAATGCAACAGTGAATGGCAATCGATGGATAAACAGGAAGATCCATTTCAACAGCGCTTTGGACGGTTTTCTTGCTTTATTCCAAGTTGTACGTATTCAAAGTTGTGCGCATTTTGTATAAGATATATCCAACTGTAGTGCAGCCATAGATTTGTCAGGATAGACCAGCCATAGATTTGTCAGGTTAGACCATCCATAGATTTGTCATTGATGTAAGCGAGAAGGAAGAAGAGCACCACAGCTAGAAAGAGTTCCGTCGCCAAATACCCGCGAAGATCTAGCCTGCACATTTGATAAACTTTTAGAGTGTGCTAAAATATAATACCATACAGTGTAGAGGAGTTTACTTAACCCGTCCTTACTTTCAGGCAACACTCGAAGGTTATATGGAAGTAATATTCGATTCTGTCGATGCTACTAAGGTAAGTTACTCGCAATTTTAGTAGTCAACAATTCACAACAATCCAGTGAATGATAGATATTGAAACGTGTATGTATTCTTTGCAGATCGATGAACAACCCATACAAGACAATAACTATGCCATGAACATATTCTATGTAATCTTTATCACATTGGGATCGTTTTTCATCTTGAATCTTTTCGTTGGGGTCGTCATTGAGAATTTCAGCAAACTCAAACAACAGGTAAAGACAATCTAAATATAATTTGCTCTCCAATTTCAACATCATTTGCTCTCCAATTTCAACAACATTTGCTCTCCAATCTCATCATCATTTGTGCTCCAATTTCAACATCATTTGCTCTCCAATTTCAACATCATTTGCTCTCCAATCTCAACAACATTTGCTCTCCAATTTCAACATCATTTGCTCTCCAATTTACTCAACTTTTTTCTATCGAACTTTAGTACGAAGACAGCGATGCAATGGGCATGTTTCTAACACCCAACCAGAGAATTTGGGTGAACACTGTTTGTCGCACATATATGAAGAAGCCACGGAAAACACCCAAAAGACCCAAGGTAAGAAACTACACAAGAACAACAATAACGAGAGAAACAAATAATGAATGACGAACAAACAATAGAACTCGTTTCCCACCAGGTAGTATAACACTGGTTAATAATAACATTTACAAACCGATGAAACACATCCGAACGGTAACAATAACAGTGGCCCTACTTTATATTGAAACTGCAACCACAAAATTATGAATTGCAAACACGTTTCTGTTTAAGGCGGAATGGAGGGGAAAGATATACGACTTGATTCAGAGTCGGTCCTTCGAATTCTTCATCATGGCGATAATTATGTTGAATATATACGATGATGGGGGAGCACCATCACCAGTCAGATGGATTTACTAAAGGACTGGACTACCTCAATTATATCTTCACAATCTTGTTCATTATCGAAGCGATACTGCGTTTGTTGGCATTGAAATTTGAGTACTTCAAGTCTGGATGGAATCTCTTCGATTTTACTATTGTCATATTTTCTATCACAGGTTAGTTACGGCATTTCAACCAAAACCAAAGTAGACAAGACTCTGCATGTAATGCAAGTTGATGGCACATGATTAGTAAGATACAACTTGATTTGAATTTCAAATGAAAGCATCCAATATTTTCTCTTTAGAAATCGTTCTTGCCTCGTATGAAATTACCATGCCATTTTCTCCTGGATTGCTTCGGGTTGTGCGCGTCTTTCGCTTAGCACGACTGTTACGATTCTTCGAGAGTGCCAAAGGTATCCGCAGTCTTCTTTTTGCCTTGGTGAAATCGCTGCCTGGATTGGCAAACATTGGCTGCCTGCTCTTTCTCTTCATGTTCATCTACGCCTGCATCGGCATGTCATTGTGGGGTAACATTAAGCACACGGGATACCTTGATGACGTTGTGAATTTCCATACATTCTTCTCCAGTCTCCTTCTGTTATTCCGCATCGCGACTGCCGCTGGCTGGAATACAATTCTTGAGCCGATGATGATCACGCCCCCGGACTGCGATCCAACGCCCAGAGCTGGACTACCAAATGGTAACTGCGGTACACCATGGCTAGCGGTTGTCTACTTTGTCAGTTATATCCTCCTAATATTCCTCGTGACTGTAAACATGTACATAGCAGTAATCTTAGAGAACTTCAACGAAGCCCAACAACAAGACGAAATTGGCTTGTGCGAGGAAGATATGGACGCGTATATCACAACATGGGAGACCTACGACCCAGAAGCAACACAGTTCATTCACTACCGCGATGTTACCCACTTCTTGGACGCACTTGATCCGCCCTTGCGAATCCCAAAACCGAACGAAGAAGAAGCAGCAGCGTTGAATGTCCCAGTGAGACAAGGAGATATGGTCCACTGTCTTGATTTGATGTTGGCGTTGGTTAAACGGGTTATAGGCGATATGGAGGAATTGACCGAGGATGATAAACGAAATATGTACGAGAAGTTTGAGGATCGTTTCCAGTCCTCGTTCCCGCAACGACAACAGACGCCTAAACTTTACACGATCCTTCAAAGATACAAGCAAGAGACGGCCGCAGCGATACGCCTCCAGAGAGCCTTCCGGGATTGGCAGAAACGAGTACAAGCGAGGAAAGAAAAAGAGAAATTCCACAAGTATTCGAGCGAAGAAAAACCGGAAAAAGATGACGTCTGGGAGGAAAAACAGATAAAAAACGAGAGCAGACCAGCATCGAGAATCAGTAGACCACGCACGGCGTCTAGTCCGCGGAAGAGAGCCCCGCTGGCCGAACAAGAAACCGTAGACAGTCCTGTTCCAATAAACAAGAAAAATACTCAAACTAGCCCAAACGAGCAACCAAATAGTAACGGAATTAGGGAAACTGCTGCGGAGAACTTTAAAAACGACCCCTTTGCCGCCGAGGCCATGAATATGATGTGGTTTAGTCGAGGCGGGAATGGACAAAATCCCAAATCGGAATCTGCTGTCTAGTGACAGGAAAAAATACAAGAGCACACTTTAAAAGTCATTCGTTAGCCTTGAAGCACACGTGATGTGACTTGTCAAAGCGCTCGTGACTACCCAGGGTGAGTCAAAGACTTCAAATACCCCGGGGGGTGGGGACAATTTTGAAGAGACAAAGGCTGGCTATAAAGTTGGGATGGAAGAGAAGACTTATCTAAAACTTATTAATAGTCCAAGAAATTTGACATAACAAAAGACTATAATATAGTTCAATTGCTTAAATATCCTTATAACAGGTGCCACAAGGCCTACAGACCAGCTTCGCACCCACCGGCCCTAAAATTTTTCAGGGGCAATATTAACCACAGCATGTAAGTCAATAGAAAAGGAATATGTATTTAAGCCGGTGCCTATATTTTTTAGAATTTACCAAACATAAACCGGCAGATTTTCAAGAAATTTAAATTTAATCTACTCTTCACAAGGATAATAATAATAATATTAATAATATATTAAGCCTAATTATCTTAATCGTATAGTTTTAATCAAGCCAATCTATTATTGCAATGTTTAAAATAACTGCCTAGAGTTATGTTGTGGACCGTTGGGAGGCCACAAGATGTTCAGTTAACCAGAACATGTTTATGCATCTTAAAAAAAAACACATAATAATCAAGCTTGGTAAATCATGTTTCTTGTCCTTAGTTTGGTTTGTGAGTTTCCTCGTAAATTCGGATCTGTAAGACATGTGTTTCCAACAATGGCTTCTTTCGAACTGGCCTTTTACAGGAAATGTAGTTTGAAATTTAGTGAACCTATGTCAGAGTTTTGACATGAGTGGAAATTTTCATCTGGAAACTGAACATCACACTCTACTAAATACTAACGCTTTATACTCCCTAATAATAGACTTGGAGGAAATTCTGAACATATTTGTATATTACAACAAACATAATGTGTTTTTTATGATCATGTGTTAAGTAATTAAGATTTGAGAGTCATTTATTAAAAATTTTCACATTAATTAGATTAACATACATTATGGGGCTTCAGAAGGATTTAAGCTCTTTTTCACCCACCAGAAAGCTTAACCTTTCAAGCTCACTGTGGTAATGCTCTGCATAACCTATGGCATAACTATAAACAACTCAAATTTGTGTATAGCCACAGACATTCGGTGCTTGACGTCATGATGAGAATGGTCCATTAGACGTATCCCTCACAGCAAGTTTCTAGGTAGTTTTTTGGGGTAAATGATGGAGAGCTCTATTCGGTTTCAGAGCTTCAAAATTCAACAGAATATTTCTTAGTAGACACTTTCCCTTCAAATGCACAATTTTCAAACTTTCCTAGCTGGAAATTGCGCACTTCTGACAATAGTTCTCTTTCACAAAATACAATGTATAAATGACGGAAAGTTAAATTCAAAGTTTCTCTTTCACAAAATACAATTCCACGTGTTTTGGCAAATTATTTGGTCTTCCAAGCAATAGTTGTACATGGTACATACAACGTACAGCACGCAACAAGTAATAACAGTGAACAAATCTTAACACGCTTTGGTACTTACGCGATATCTCCGGCAAGGTGAAAAGCATTCCAGAACCTTTTTCAGCTCTCAAATTATAAAAAAATGTCCTCAAAATACGCGCGACATTTTGAAAATCGTCCATGTTATTAAATAACCCACGTTACTTGATGTAAGCATGACTTATTCCTATCCCATGCTGAAGTACATATAGATAGTGGATATCAGTATTTTACTATTAAAAAATAACAAAATGTGATTTTTTATAATATTATAGTTTAGTTTCCACCTCTCTATGATGATTTGTGGGTTGAGGAGGATGTTAGATACGACTAAGAACAGTAAGACTTGCTATATCTGTCTAGTAATGCATATGTAGTATTTTAATACTACAGTTCCATCTATTGCTAAATGATTTTAATTGTCACCAAAATATGACTGTTTGGTAATCCGGGAAATAAAATCATATCTGCCAGTAACTTGTGTTAACCAGCTTGCTAGTTAACGAGCTTGCTAGTTAACCAGTGCGAAAAGATTTGGTATTCTATTTTGAATACCACTATAAACAATTGCATATGTTACTGGAGGATTGCCATCATTATATATGGTGATAGTCCAGATGAATTGCTTATATTCTCATCATAACCTACATTACTTTTTCTCACAATCACTTTAGGGTTCATTCATTATCCCTACGTGTTCAATATTAAATTTAAAAAGTGTCTACGGAAACTACATACCAATGCATCAAAATCCAGAGAAACTGAGTTAGTAAAGGAACTCAAAGCTAAAATCAAGGTAGATAAATTCATGAAGGGAAATGTCCAATCATTTTACACCTGCTTGCTTTCACACATCACTGGTTCATGCAACTTTGAACATTTTCCTGGATAATTCTTTCTAAAATAATGTCCACAGCTAGTTTACCTTTTTTGCTATCCATGATGATCCTTGGAAATACAACTTCAAGTTAAACAGAAATTTCTCTCGTGAATTTTAAACAATTTTTAACAGTCATGTTTTTATGCGCTAAACCATACCAGGTGGAGGACGGACGTCCGACGTCATAATTGTAGAACTCACAGAACACGCTTTTTTGTTCTGCATGCTGATTTGTGAAAAAATACTCATTTTATTTACAAATACAATAGAAAGCGTTACTATGAGTTCCGTAATGTTATATAATTATACTGTTTTGTATTGGCACGTGGTGTTAATTGGTTTTAAGATAATATTTAATTAGAATGACGATAAATCCATAAAATAAATTCCTAACACAGATTAGGATAAATCCGGCTCTAGATAAATGGCTAGCACAGCTAGTACACTCTACATTTTTTGCGTACATGTCATTGTTTCTCATTTTTATGTAGTTCTCGGGGCCTATCACGGTGGCAGAGTATATGAAGGAAGTCCTCTCCCATCCTCTCGTGGTAAACGAACTTTACATGCATTTTTTCTCTGCAGCAGTTGCGTCTTTGATGCGGGGCAGAAGAAGCGATGCTGAGTAAGCCAAGAATCGGCTGTCTCATGCACAGCCCGTTGATCTTTGGACTTAAACACAAAACAGCTCTTTTAGTTGCACGATAAACTATCCAATGCAATATTTGTATGTGGTATATATAGAAATTAACAACCCGACGGACACCTCTATCGTTAGAAGGAAAGAACGGCTCAGTTCGTATTACACCGCACGAAATTCATCCCTCATCTGGTGTACGTATTACTATGAGAGCAATGAGTTTTCCTACTTTTCTTCTCAGGGTTATTACATGAAGAAAGATGTATTTGGTTTGGAGGGAGATTTTATAACATCGCCTGAAATCAGTCAGATTTTCGGAGAGGTACAAAACTTGTTATGATGCTATAGTTCACCGTCAGTAAAAAAGCATCATTTCCGATTGGTTAACCATAAGCTGGTCTTTGTCTCATTCCATCACCCATCCATTCCTTCAGTTAATAGGTATTTGGTTCTACGAAAGATGGCTTTATAATGGTTCACCGCGGGACATCCAGTTTGTTGAACTAGGTCCTGGGCGTGGAACACTTATTTCAGATATTCTCCGGGTAAAAAATATATATTTTGCTCGCTTGATTTACAAACCAGGACCCAGTGGACACAACATATCTTCTCAGTAATTTATTCAGCCTGTTTTCAAACTAGGTTTTCGCCAGATTGGGTAGAATTTCAGAACATCTGAGCTTGCATCTTGTTGAGATCAGTCCTGCAATGAGAGAAATGCAGAAAAAAATTTTATGCATTAGCGATCAGAAGCAAGACGTGGTAAGATATCTGTTTATGATAAGCAAAAATCGTGCGTAAAATTAATGTAATTCATTTATTTCTAAAGCCTATGAACAGCAACACAACCAAAGATGGCATACCAGTAACGTGGCATCATGATATCTCAGATGTGCCAAAAGGTCTGCGTTTATTAGCGTGTTTGACCAGCCCATGCATGCAGTCTCGAACTATCCTTCCATCTTCCTGACTACCAACACTCAAGTGACTCCATATCATCTCCTGATCTTTTCATTCAATGATATGCCTCTTCAGCACTGGCCTCCCAAATCTTTTCTCACTTTAAAGCGCACAAAATCTCAAAAATGCGATGTAAATGTGCACATTTAAAGACTATTTACAAATGGAAAACTGGTTGGGTTTTTTTTGCTTAGGTTGTTCGTTTTACCTGGCACACGAGTTCTTTGACGCGCTTCCCATACATGAATTTCAGGTCAGATGAATAGATGAAAGATACTCATTTCGTGTACAAATTATGACTGGGATATGAGCAATATGTGTATACATATGATTTGATATTTTAGAGGACTCGACATGGATGGCGTGAGGTAATGGTGGACGTAGATGAAGACGGGTAAAGACGGACTCTTACTCAAAATAAACTATCGCACGATCGATTTTTTGCGATTATTTTATTGTTGAAATTTGAGTGCAATCAGGCACAGCTGATTTAGGATTTGTTTGCGCTCAATTCGGGTTTAAAATATTTTAGACCGCATCACTTGAAGTTCTGTCTGGCGCCTTCAAACACGCCGGCATCTGTTTTGCTGCCCAAAGGCAAAGATCTTAAAGCAGACAAAATTGAGATCCGACCTCAGGCTCAAGTAATCGTTGAGGAAATGGCACAAAACATTAAAAAACATGGCGGTTCTTCACTGATTGTTGATTATGGCGATGTTGACAGCGAGAGGAACACCTTGCGGGTAAGGATAACACGGCATAAGAGAATATATGGTTTCAAATGAAAGAGTTCAATTCTGAAGCCCGCGACTGAATTGCCTGCGTTAGATAATCGGACAACAAACAGTTAAGCAATGAACACAGAGCTTTAGAGAAAGTAACACCAAATTATAGTGATGAAAATGCTAATAGATTTCTCGCACATGAGCGGGAACCACCCGAAGCCACCCTAACCGACCGAGATCAACAATAACTGATTATTTTTTGCAGGCCTTTCAAAACCATCAACTTGTACATCCACTCTTTGAGCCAGGTCATTCTGATCTCACTTCAAATGTTGATTTCTCGGCTTTAAAAGAAATATTTTCTCAATATAAAGGTATAGATCTATTTTGTTCAAATTCATTGCCTCCCATTTAATCAAATTTCTACTTTTTGACGTCATATTGTGAATATAGTTTGTTAGAAAAAAACCACACTCGAAACGTATAAAGTCAAAAGCGCATGCAACGTGAACGAATTTTCATGGTGAATTATCTGTTTTTAGTTTCGACATTTGGTCCCGTAAGGCAACAGGATTTTCTAAAAGCGATGGGAATTGATGTTCGAAAACAGGTAGGGATATTTTAGAAACGTCTTGTTGATTGACAAAGCTATATTTCACTTGTTACAGAAATACAAAGTCACATCACAACGCGACGAACCAGTCTCCTTGACGTACGCCGGATTTCTTGCCATTTTTGTTGATCTTTCATTAGGTTCTGCTCAAGAAAGCAAGTGTTGAACAAGTCACAAATATAGAAACTGCTTACAGAATGTTAACTGACGACAATGAAATGGGAAATTGTTTTAAATTTTTCGCTGGCACAGGTGGAAGTGAGAAACCCCTGGGTTTTAAAACGGTGGTCCTGCGAAGCTGAAATAAATCCTAAACAATCTTGATGCAGATACTACTTTTATTTATTCACCTCTACCGTTACAAGGCGCTATAAATCAACTATAATATTTCTTTTTGATTGCTTTGTAACTTTTACACTTTTCTTCGGCCCAAATCCTAGTTTGTTAGGGTAAAGATTATACGATTTTGTTAGGTAAAGATTATACGATAGATAAATAATTGGAAGAAAGAGAAGTCAAATAAATTTAACTATTATATATATATATAGATATATATCTAAATTATATCATATGCGGTCACCTTTTAAATGAATCTCTTAACACATTTGCAATTTTTTGATTGCGTGCTTAATTAGAAATCCTTTAAAAGAAATATTGCACAAAATAAGTTGTGATTTCCCATACAAGTAATATACAGGGTTGTACCATAATGTATCATAATGTACATGTTGTACCATAATATACCAAACATACCGTTGCAGACTTTCTTCACCGCGCTTTTCAACTTGCAAACTGCAGACCGCACTGACCCACTGGATCTGCGCCTGCGCCGACTGAACCACCCTCTGCGTCTACGCCTGCGCCGCCTGAACCACCCTCTTTTTTCCTCCTCGACTTTTGCCTCTACAAGAACAAACAGTGTCACTGATCTGATAATGTACTGGATAGAAAAACCATTCCTATCGACAACGAAGGCAGAATAATAAATTAAGTAACGGGCGTTGAAAATTTTTCGCTAAAAACAACGCAAAAAAGCTGAAATGTGATTTCTTTGCATTAGGAAAAAAAATGAATTGGGGGAGTTTCGACTCAACGAGGTTAATAAAAAGGTAGTTAAGGTTTCACTATGGTTAGTGATGGAATTGGTCAATTAGAATCGCTTAAAATGAGAAATTAACAACGCAAAATCTAGTTAAAAGTTTAATTTATACAACCGGGTCCGATACATATTTCTCCATCCAGATATATAACTACAGAGCTTACAGCCTCACACTATATTTACTCCATACCCACCTTCATCTCCCATTAAGTGAAGACAATCATCGCATAGACCTTTGATGTTAGCGGGTACTAAACATAAATGCAAGATTTAAAACAAATGAAAAAATCAGGAAAGCAATCGACAATCGAAGATTCGTTATTCATAAAATCACTTACAGCGTCCATATTTGCAAACAGCCTTGATCGCATAACCCAATCCTTTTCTAGCCACAAAGCCAAATAATCTTTTTTCTTCATCTGCTTCGCCGTTGCTAAAAGAAACGAAACTGAAACCCGTAAATTAAGACTGCCGACGAGACATTTTTAAGTTGAATCAGAAGTTTCCTGGTTGCATGTGCATGCATGACCACCTTCAGAGGGCCAGAAAACATCTTGTCCTGTTTCCGTGTAATAATTTATTAAACTGGATGTTTTTGCTCTGGATATAAAGAAGAACAAAGAAAGCAATGTCTACGCCAGAGGTATCGTTGCAGGATTTCACATACCTGGCCGAATGCTCCTCATTTTCCTCCACGTTCGAGGGTAAAGCAAACGAGATTGCCAATAAGGCAAAGAGCAACAAGAACACGTTTCTGAACTTCATCTTTCAAACTGCTGAAAAACGATGACTTTTTCTCCGAAATCTCTCACACAAAATGAAAACTTTTCTTTGAACTCTCAGATCAAAATGCTATCGTGAAATGCAGGACGGTGAAAAGAACACGGCTTTTTATGTCCAGGCGTGTGGAACCAATGTCAATGATATCAGAATTTACATACAAGCTATAATTGCTAGTTGTTTTAAAAATTACTAAAATAAATGGTTTTTCATTCGAATATTTAGCTACGATTATGTATTCAACTCAGGATGATCGTCTCCTTGAAATTAAAAGCCAATTGGTTTTTAAATTGAAAGCAATGGCGTTTTGATCAGTCATTAATCAAAAAACAATTGATTTTGGAAATAACATGCATTAAGGGTGTTTATAGGAATATGTATACTCAATTTCATGAAGATACATATATCCGTCTATTATATAGATGAATCTTTGCAGTTTAAATGTTTGTTGTTTTCAAATTTCCAATTTGCTATAGATAAATGATTGCATGAGATAAAAAAGGTTCGATTGATCAACGAAATGTCTGTTTTCCGATGAATTATAACGAAGATTTAGGCTCGGATGGTAATATTAGCATGATATAATGAGTATGTACAACTGATAACACACGAACTGCCTTATTGAGATGGTACATTATAGTTAAAAAAGATAAAATACGTGAGAATTATATATCATGTTGAAATGAAATTAATTAATCATTTGACTGCGTGAAATACAATGTCAAAATGCATGATAATGATTATGTTTATCGGTTGTGAGAAAGCTTTTAGACATTCCTTATTTAACCTTTCTTTATATAACTGAATATGCAAAATAAATTTAAAATTTTATTCAAACATGAAATAACAAGGAATCAAACTATCCATTATTCTGAAATAAAGCCTGATTCTCGCTGAGAGTTGGCATCTTTCATCTTATAAAAAATTTCTACAATAAATATTCATTATTATATTGCATGTGAGGCGAAATTTGTTGATTAGCAGACAGAAACGACATAGAATAATCTCACATTCGCTGCTTATAGCCTTATAAATCTTCATTTTGAGAAATCTATGCTTCGCGGTTGAGGGAAGGCCTGAGCTCAAGAAAAGAGAAATGGTTTAGATTTACTGTGGAGTTTGCAACAGCGGAAAGAAGGTCGAACCAAATCATGTAATATATAGACTCTCTTGATGCAGGTAATACTTTTATTTATTCACTCATTTTTACCATTACAAGTCACTAAAACAACTATATTTCTCTTTATTTGCTTGTAATTCTCACATTTTCATCCGTCCAAATCCTGAAAAGAAGACGATTCATTGTAATAATGACATAACCTACGATTCAATAAGCAACATTACACACACGTTGCCATAAAAAAATTCAGTAAAATTGTATCAACGAAATTTGAGCTTAGCTACTTTATAGTCACTTACCTTCTCTTTAGATATAGGGTTTGATACAATTATCACACAATTACCAATTACAATCTCGCATATTCTTAATTGGAAAAGACAACATTCACAAAATGAGGACAATTGCGATGAAACAAAAAGGAAAATTTTTCATGATACGAGTTCCGCATTGGACTTCGTATGAACAATTATTAAGATCAATAAATTACACTCACTGTTATTGCAAAGTCACCAAGTTGTTGCTTGATCGAATCCATACTCATGAACCATCGCTGTTGAATCTCAGACCTTCATTTGTAAAAACAAAAAAAAATGTTTCGGAAACCACCAGAAGTATGTCCAGTGAAGCGGCAGGGACAGCCCCACCCGGCCTGAGACTAGAGACGGGTCAGACAGCCCCCTCCTGAGAGCTAGCCGACATTTCAGGTACATCAGCTCCATTTCCCATATGTACGCTCTGGCGGAAATTCAGTCCTGGCAGTGGTGCAGGGTCAAACTTCAAAGCGTCACAAATTTCCGACATTGCTTCTAATCCCTTTGCTTTTGACCTATAAAACTATACTAGTTTCCTTTCGTCGATTTTGAGAAAAAACACGATTCAGCTATTTGTCAAACTATTTACATGCGATGTAATGTTTGAAATTCCCTTCGGTAAAGCTCTAAAATTGATTTTCAAAGAATGATATCCACTGAAAATTGGGATTTATGTAGGCTGTAGCCTGTCCACCAATGTATATGAAATAAGTCATACTTTTTTCTCAATTTCTGTATATTCAATTGTCTTCGAAATTCCGACAAAACCCAAAATTTCCAACAAAGCGCTTATTTTACGAAAGAGGAGTGGGGGGAGCTGAGGGCACGGGGATATTCCCGCCACCGTCTGTACATTCTGGGTAGTGGGTACCGCTATGCATTGTACAAAATTAATTCCTGTGCCTGTAAAATAAACGATTTCGAATATAGTAAAAAATCATATATATATTTATATATATTCACCTTCATCACCGACAAACCCACCAACTGCCGTGGCACACCCGCATATGCTTTGCACATTGGAAGACACTATATAGAAAAACAAACTTTTTTGGCGCCCCATTGAAAATTTTTACAATCATATAGTCAGCCCAAATTTGCGTGATAATTTTTACGCGACAATAATGTTCGTTTCATGGCATGATAACGGGAGCCATGTTCGAATAACTTCAAAATCAATTAGTCATTACTTACATGAGTTAAGTTTACACACTTGTGACAATAATACGGATATTCCTTTCGACAATGCTTTTTTTATCAGCCAAGCTCCGACGAACCTCTTGTCTTGAACCTCTTTGCCATCATTGCTATATAAGAACAAAGAAAATGCCAATGGAAAAAAAACATGCAACAGAGAGTTGCTTTTCATCACGCTCAAAAAGTCATAAATTTCGTCTAATGCAGAGTTTTGTGGAGATGGGAAGCAATGTTAACGCTATAATATACATGTAAATGCCCTATTTTAGGATTCTTACCTAGCCAACGGCACAGCGAACGACATTGCAAACAACGCGCAAAGCAAAATGAAAACTTGTGAAAATTTCATTGTTTCAGCACAGGTAAATCACGACGGTTTTAAAGACTCTCGAAAAAAAAATCTGGATACTTCCGCTTCTAAGGACAATCCTGAAATGCAGGATGATTGCCAACTCTCTCGCTTTTTATGCAATTTCTAAAAATTGCCATCTTCAAAAATGTACACACGCAACGTTCTTAAAATTACTAAAATAATTACTTTGAGTGTTCTCACTTTAGCTATATGTATTCAGCCAGTTTAAAAGTCTATCTTCTGAAATTGAGGATATACCGCAAATGTAAATACAGACAAATTGTTAACCACTGAACAATTTTTCTAAATTACGAAGAAAATTGCCTTTCCATTAAAGAAATATTTCCTTATTTATCCAGTCGGTATTGGGTGCACATTGATATTAATTTGTGGTATATGATTAGAAATATATTTTAATGGATATCTTAATCGTTTTGAAATCATGATAATGAATTAGCCTCACCATGCATATGGTAGCTATCCACTTTTAAATGACTTGCGAGACTAGGTCCTGACACGAATATAGCTTTTTGAAAAATTAGCTATATAGATATGCTTCAGAGTCGGAGATATATAGCGCCACCGTAGCAATAATGCAAGGATCCAATCAGAATTGTCACAAAAATACGACTTCAAAATCAAGACACATGGCGATTTGTCTTTTCTGAACTTTTACAAGGTTATAACTGGCAATTTGTCTGAACAAACATATTATTTCGCCCACTTAATCGGACTGATAATAAAGAAGCCGACCCTCAAAAAATTAGCATGCATTGCGCACGGCCTGGTGTGTTGTTTACAAAGTGAAATTACTTTATATTTACTCCCAATAAACAGTAATTAATCTTCCTAATATGCACTGTTTGTCGGTGGCGGGAAAATGCACAAAATATTTAATGGTGTTTATAGAAGTTAGAAAACAAGAACAATAAACAGTATTTGTGCCAATTATTAACAGTGAGCTTCCTGTATACTCGTTGCAAAATTACTAATTTTTAATCTATTCATCGATTTTTACAATACATTTGATATAAGACAAATAAGACCACTATACAAGACTTATATTCCAGTCACTTCCTCGTTTAACTCTGAATAATTCACATGATCCGTATCGGCCTAAAAAATATAGCAAAACAGTTAGAATAAACATAGATTATCGTACATACATACAGAAGAACTTGGAGTACAGTAGACTTTGTCTTTGAGCAAGTCTTTTCACTCGAATAATTTGTGATAATAAAATGGGCCAGGCCATCCTGAATCAACTTACCCAAAATCTTCAGTTGCCATTCTTATAGAGACGAAAACAATCACATAATCCTTTGGCCCTTTTGGGATCAACACCTGCAAGATTTTTTAGCAAAATTACGCATTCGCGTTTCATTTGTATTCATTTACGCGCCATGTTAGTGTACTGCAGTATCCAAGTATCCAACGAATTGTTTTCCAAGACCTCTTTATATGCATTTAATTACATTAAAGTTTCTATGCTTAAGTGACATATATTGCTCAAACTATCTAATGATTCTGCGTGTGATTCTTGTTTTGAATTCCTGCAGTTGAAACATTTAGAATTTAAATTTCCCCACACTATCAGTAGTCAGAGAAAACTGAGGATATGCTTGATAGGAGTATTTGGGTAAATACATGCAGGTGAGATTTGTAATAAGTTTATTTTGATCAACTCGTTACGATGAACAAACCTTGGTCAATTCTGCCGGTTAGCACAAATATCTTTCGCCAGATCAAGGAGGACCCGGATATCGTCATCCTCTGGCCCCAGTTCAACCGTAGCTTCGTCGTTACCACTACATAAAATAACCAGATATCTTTAGCTATAACCTTTGGAGGAATTCTCAAGTGTATAGGTTTAAAACCTCGCGCTATAGTCATGCATTTATGAGCGGAGTTTTCAAACTATACAGGCAAAATGCATGCAAAATTATCTTTTTTTGCATCAATTCAAACTCACCTGTCTTCCAGCTGTTCCACGAGTGAGGCCTCGCCACTTTGTGCTTTTGAGGAGCCAAGAAGAACCACGTGTAAAAAGAGAAAACTCAAAAACACGAAGGAAAGTGAATGCTTCATTATAAAAAAATTAGCTTTCAACTGTGCGGTCAGTCTATAACATCAATGCCCTCGTGAAACTCTCATGTGAAAGAAATCACTGAATATGATGTGTTTATATACTTTCCCACAAAATGGAAAGATGTGAATAGTTGTTCACTCTAATCGCTTGCATTTTTCTTCTAAAATAACTTAATAGGACGTTTATTTGCATTTTTAAACGGACAAAGTTTGGCATGAGTGAATTAGAAAGACAGGGAGGCATGCAGTAAAATGTCGGTATGAACTCTTTGACCCTCAATTTGTTGACATAAAATGTACGGATGGTTTGTCGATTGTGAAAGTTTTGAGGATAAAATGAATAGTTAAAATGGACATTCCAATTACACCGACGGCGATGAATTTAGCGGCGAGGTGTCAACATACTAGACGGCGAAACAAGATGAAGAGAATAGCTTTGGAATTGAAGGGATTTTGTTCATAAAAAGATGATCATTGTCCACAAACATATAATTTAGGGATTTTTGTCTGAATAAGTCTTGCAGTGTTTATATGACAAAATATACGTATCACATTCTAGCTTTCTCCTTCCCTACAATGTTAGAGAGATACTCTCGGAAAAAAACCGGATTGCAGACAGTCCCAGACACCTACGAGGACTTCGATGCTGCAATTATTTTATGGAAAAATAATTGAACGTTTACATGAATGGTTTTAACAAACAAATATCGCTATCTACGGTATTAAATCTGGCTGTATAGCTGTAACAGTTACATAGAGTTGTGTTCACCTCGTGCCTATCAACGGGAGATGTTCCTCCCCCAAGCACGGCAATATCGCGTGATTCAAGTTTGTTGTTTTATATGGTTTAAATAAGCAATGAAAACTGCGCGTTATATTACCATGTAACTATATTTATCAGCCCGGCGTTTTGCAAGTCTTTGTAGGTCATAACTTGCAACAGATTAGATTGCACGACGTCGGCTGTTCCTACTCCTAGCACTTGTAATGTATCATTCAGGATAATCACGAGGGGTTTCGTGAAAGTAACCACAAATGGTAAGTTAATTTGGAGAACGTCTTAGATCTTTTGATATCATGCTGTGTCGTACAACGACATATTTAATTTGTTAACAGATAACAGAATGACTTCATGAGGTAATGTCACAGCAAGTCGCCAATACATGTGAACGCATTATATTAACTAAGGTCGTTCTTAATATAATATCAACTCAGTTGATCGCTGCTGTATAATTGTTTACAAGCAGATATCTGTTTGAAACGAGGTCCGCAAAGATCGCTTCAGAATGTGGAATAACAACAGCAATGCGACCGTATCTTACAGCAGTTTGGATAAACATTAAACACTCCTTTGAAATGGAACAAATTAAAGTGTGTTCATTAACAGATATATCTATTCTGTGGCATTAGCATAAACGTTATTCTGAGCGCTGTGTTGCCCTGAAGCCGTTGTCTTGTGCATGTTGAAGTTCAACGAATTGTTTGGTTTTAAAAGAGCAGATTGTGTTTAAAATTGGATCAATACGGGACATTGATCGCACGTAAGCATGACTTCCGTGCTTCGACGATTCACGTTGGTGCTTTTGGTGACACAGATATTACTGGATGTCAGTTCTGCGTATCCTATTGCGAATGGTAAGAATGATGGTTTCAATTCTAGCGTAAATCAACTATATATCTGCTGCTTTTCACCACACTGACAAATCAACACAAATAATACATATTCATATAGTCGTGGCTTGTCCACTGCCAAATGGACACGTCTGCGTTGAATTTCCAGCACTGGACATGTAATGTTTGTCCAGAATAATTATATCAAATAATCGCGGTAATTTATTAATGTCGCTATCTAGACCATATTACCCTTTTACATGCAAGCGTCTTGAATGAGCGCAAGGGAGAAATTTCACCTCAAGTTTACAAAAAGCCAATCTGAGTGTGCACATATATTTTTATAATGTATTAATGAAAATGGTTATTCCTAAACGATGAATAATGTAGTTAATTAAACAGTTACGAGGATTTGTTTTCATCGTATTCTTCTGTCGTTTTCCGCCTACAAATGACACGAGATTTTGTCTTTTAAAATCAATCATGATTTATGTATTTACGGCATATTAAACCTCATTGACTGTTTTGGTCAGTTTATTGACAAGATAACTGGAGAGCAAGAACAGATTACCACTATTTCTAACCAGAGCTTTGGCCTGCAAATACAATAATCCAACAGGTATCCTTCCATGAAAACAAAGCCACAAAAACACACGAATAGGCCGTTAAACCGGATTAATTTGCGATAACATAAAACATTAAACAAAGAAGCTATCCCATAAGAGATTAGGAAGTTCAAATTACAGAATGGTTTAGTTCCCATGATGCATTTTGTAGAGAAAACCCGAATGTGTATGCCCAGCATACTGCATCATTGGATTTAGAACTAAGAAGTGAAGTTTTATTTAACGATGTGGGACTTGACAGGAAAGCTTTCAAATAAGAACATTTAAATTTGTTTTGGAAAATATTTTTCTGATCGTATCGCTGAACAAAGATGCCGCTTTCTTGATATTTTGAGGAAAAACATCTGGCCTTTTTTACCTTTTGCCAAGATCACACTACAAAATACGTTTCCTAAAATACTAAGGTACGAATAAACAGAAGAGATATAATCTGGACAACGCTACATGAGGTTTATCAACAGGAACCATGTTCATTCGTACAGATTAACCGTAGCACTTTTAAGCCCCGTTTAACACTTGCAATTTTCGCTGCGATTTTCTTCTTTTGATAGATGTGAACGAGTAATAAGTTATGAACGCTCTGACGTATAAGAACTCTTATTTGAACATCAGTAACTAATTCACTCGTTCACATCTATCAAAGAAGATAATACATAAAATTGCAGCAAAAATTGCAAGTGTAAGGCCTTACGTGGCAAACGTGCCAAATGCACCATAACAAGTGTTGCGTTGTTGTTTTAGGGGGAAATGAAAAACTAAACAGATTCGAGCGTTCGCTTCAACCAGGCTGCGGTCGAAAAAAACATCTTCGGAACAAAGATGGCCTGATTGTTGTCAAAGGCGAGGACCTGTGGCAAGGGGGGGACGTATCGTGTTCGTGGATTATACACGTATCGCGCGGGACTCTCGCACAACTTCAGTTCGCCAAATTTAACATCGAGGACTCGTGCCCAGGGATATGTCGGTGCAACTACGTCGCGGTGAAAGAAGATATTGGGACAAAAAGACCGGTTATGAACAAATACTGCAACGAAAGGAAACCTCCCAGGGATCTAGTATCCGGGGCTAACAAAGTTCGTATACACCTCAGTCTAAAAGCCGGTAGTCGTCGAACTGGAAACACAAGTTTTGTGTTCAAGTATGCTATTATGTCAAGCGAAAAAACAACAGAGCTTGCCACTCATGGAAACAAGGATATTCCGGGTAATGATAACAGCAATGAACCAAGGAATATTCGCGTTAGGAAACGTGTACCTGGTGACGAGGGTTCTGACGTTACCGCGCAGCGTACACAGCAAGATCCTGGGCCGAGTAAACTTACAATAATTCTAGCCGTCGCTATTCCGGTCGTGCTCATTTTCCTTGGAGTCGTGTTACTGATAGCGTACTATTATTATTACACAGACAAAAAACAGAAGGAAAGCGGGTAAGAACGTATACTTTTTATGACGTCATCATATCATGACGTCACCACTTGTCACGTAATGACGTCACAGCATATGTTGGATCGGTGATAATGATATAACTGGAGTGAACATATTAACTACTCTAAATTTAACAAAGTTGGTTGCCGTGGTAACCCCACGTGATAGGATCTATCACGGAGATGTACAGAGAGGCTGTACCCATTTCTTGATCAGAATAAGGAAATATATTTGTGTACTTTTAGAGAGGACATACCGAAGAGCGGAGCCACTATCAGTGATTTGATCATGAACAGCAGCGTGACACTGACACCGATGTTCAACTTGGGGAAAGCAAGACGTGAATCGACGCAACGAAAAGAAAAGTGAGCAGGAATTATCAGACTGTTTCTTTATAAGAGGTTTAGCGAACGTCGAATAAACCATCGATGCGACAGGAGATTGTTGGTAAAAATGATGCTTGACAAGAGTATTGTTTATTTCTAGAGCAAGTAAACTTTATGACGACATGTTGCAAAACTGGAGGAGAATGAATGATGATAAGAAGAAGCGAGAACTAGCCAGGGTGGAAAGGTAGGAATAGTTATCCTTTTCTAGAACTGATCTAATCTTCTAGATCAGAGGTTATTAAGTGACTTAAAAACTTTTTCAATGGCTTTAAAACTTTTAACAGACATTTCGGGTGAAGATCTTCTTTGTCTGTAGCAAACTCGAAGGAAAATCTCGTAGGAAAATCTCGAAATCTTTTTCATTAGAAGTGGTCCAAGGACGAACACAGTTTCTTGGTTGTTAATGAAGATGCATGTCCTATTTAGTTTAAATTCTTTATATTACAGCGTGAACACGTGGGAATCGTACAAAAAACACAAACAAAGGCGCAATACAAGAGATGTTGAAGATGCGAATAACGAAGCGTTTGCAATGCTTGTTAGCAACGCCATTAATGTCGCGGCCGATACAGTCCCTCCTCCGGAAACCCAAGAAAATGGCGAACACGAGGTTAAGGAAACTACAGAGGAAGTTGAGGAAAAGCCTAGAACGAGCAGGTGGGCAGGCAAATATTGCTGAGGTCAGAGTAAACCGAGTCGATTCCTTAAGGCATGGTCTGGAAACTTGGCAAAAATATTTTCATAGTGAACAGTTAAGATAGTGGATTCTCTTTTCTATACCCTTTGAAATATTTATGATCAATATTTCAAATATTTGTGCACAGTAAAGCTTGACATTAAATCTTGACTCATAATTATACACTTTGAAGTTGATCAAATTATGTCCGTTAACTATAATTTAATTGAACCTCAATATACAGGAGAAATTTAAGTCCGAATTTCTCTTCAAATGCATGTTTCTTTAGGATAACCAATAAATATAATGATGTTCATTATAGCCATTCAAGGTATCCTAAACATCGTGCATCGTTTTTTGCGCGTCTAAAATCATTTTTGAAAGTCTCTCCCAAAAATGATGTTCATTTGGTTCACCCAACAATCTCACGCGATGAGCAACCATCGTCAGCACTATTGATCACCATGACGACAACGTACATACCGATTTAAAATCTTTCTTTAATCATTCCTTAGTATTTTGATCAAGAGAAGCTCCGACAGCATTCGTAACAGCCGTGGCTCCAAGGTCCTTTCCTGGAGCGATGTTTCGTCCAGCAAACCTGAAGAGGAGAAAGTCAATTCATACAAAAGAACCAAAAGTGAAACGGAGTTGAAAACGTTGCCAAGAGGAAGCGGGGGGTAAGCTTAAGCCCATTTTACACTACGCAAACTTTGCGTAGTTTAAACGGGGCTTTAGAGATCATGATTTAGTGCAGAAAACAATCCAAGTTGATACGTATTCTTAATTCGTATGGTTAACAATTTTTAACTATGGTTATGGCCGGCCAGACAACACGATAAACTTTTTCTAAATTCAGCTTTGATTCTTGAATACAGTTTTTTTAAAACTCTTGACTTAATTTAGTAAGGATTGCTTCCCTCAAACATTTCTAGTTCAGCTCATATTCCCGCCATTGTTGTGAGCCAGCCGAGTGTTGATGCCGAGGATGATGAGACTGAAGCTAATGATACTGATAGGTATGGAATTATATCTTTCTACTGCTGACAGATGGAATATTAGTAACACAAGAAAGCGAGGAGAGTATTATTATTCATCAAACACGGATTAATACTGTAGCTATGAACTGCCGAAGAAATCCATTACAACACATACATCAGGTGTAGCAGAATCACAAATACACAGGAACTAAGTATAGATGATGTTTTATAGATTAATCAAAGTGGACAAACACTGTCCTAAAAACCAGAGCGGAGAGGGGAATGAACCAAAGAGTTCCACAACATACAGCTGGTACGTTCGTATAAAAAAACTACCCACGCCTGTGGTTTTACCGTTTTTACAAACTAACGTAAACCATCTTGTTGTTGTAGTTCAGAACATGTTAAAGATATTTTGCGAGAAAGTTATGGCGAAGAGGACGAAGACTGGTTTCAAAAACCAAAGAAAAGCCCTTCGCAAGGCAAGTACCAACTGTATCTTTATGTACTATATTATGTACTATTATGTTCTATTATGTACTATTATGGACTGTAATGTACCATTGTGTACTATTATGCACCATTATAGACTATACAAAGTACTATCAATGTGTACCGTTATGTACTATTGTGTACCGTTGTGTACTATCGTGTACCATTATGTACTATTGTGTAAACGTAATTGAGAAGAAATATTAAAAAATACCAAATGTAAAGAGTCGAACGAACAACTGTAATTTCTCGTTATATTCATAATAGGCAGTCTACATGGAAACTCAGAGTCTAACGTGAAGTACCAAGCCATGAAGACGTCTGAAGATAATGACGACATTGATTGAAACTCTTCCCGAGTCACTGGGCAAAGAATTTAAAAAAGACGCTCTTTCCTTGAGGATTTAGACAGAGGAGCGCACAGTTGATAGCATGGGTTGTATGTACCAATGCAGAAAATTCTGTCCACACAGCAGAAGACCTTTTAAGGAGTATTTAAGTATAAACTTATTCCCAGCTTATATTAGCTGATATATCGAGATTGGATGTAGTTGCAATCCTTTTTCACTTGACCCCCGAGTTTTAGGGGAGATTTTCAAGCATGCTGTAACCAGCAAAGAAGTAAAATATAAAAACAGTCCAATACTGTTGATCATCTGAACAGTTCCCGGAGACGGGTTATAATTAATCATACTGACTTTCTATGAATGAAAATTTATGAAATAAAGTTTTCTTACCAGCTTTTTCCCCTCGCGTCCTTCATGTGTCAATACTCGGAGGCCAATCAACTTCTACTGACTGGAATTGAGAGAAAATATGAAAATCAAGTTGTTTTCTCATTTCCTCCATATCTTCCATAATTCATTCCCAACCTACCACAACGTCCAGTTCAAGTATATCCGTTTCTTTCTTCATAATTGTACAAAGGTTTGGCTGCGTTCTGCCAAAATCCCCGTGAACAAATTCTTTAATATATCTGCATGAAGTTCAGCGGTTAAAGAAAGATTTTCAAGATTTAAAATATCGAGGGATCTCATTTACCCGTGTTCAATCAACGGCTGTACCCTGTTTTACAACCAGCATCCCTCTGTATCCCTACGCCATGCCAGATCACCCGTCTCAGGGTGAGTTAAAGGACTCGATGATAAATTTGTAAAAGGATACGTTCCCGCCTCGGTACATAACTGAAGTGTGAAATGTTTATCATCAATATATTCTCCAAACATGAACAAAATTTTACGTTGGCGAACAGCTAAGGGACGTCTAGGTACACGAGAGTAGAAATTGATCTGAGTATCTGTATGTATATAGGCATCCACCAGGCCATTTAGAAATATATTTTTTAATTCATGATACAAGGTTTTATAAATACCGATGTAGGACTCTGAGCGGTGTCTTTTGATCAAGTGTGACATTCTTAACAAAAAAAGCATAAATGAAATTGAATAATAATACTTAGTACAGAATTTCACAGTCGAGGACTGTAAACAGAAGTCAATGCGGACAATATATATTACACAGAAGTTAACACAACTGAAACTTTTGCCTAAAATAGTCCCTACAATATTCACTTACTTTTAAGTTCATTAATGGTTTTAATTCCTCTTCAGTAAAGCCATCAGGAACATAAACTAAAGCTCTAGAAAAGTGATATAATACACATGAAAGATTGGTTGTTTTCGCAACACCAAAACAAAGTTCGTCACCTTTTCATAATCAAAGTTATCTGCTATGATCTACTATGAAAATACCACGGACACTGGCGGAACTTACCGATATGTCTTCGTTTTACTGTTTTCCCCTTCTTTTAACTTAGAGCAATCTTCCCTAACAAAACAGAAGATGCTCTTAGAAAAAAATTCTCAAAATCCCTGGACGTTGGGTGCATGAACAATTCGTGAAGTTTACAAAACCTTCCAATCATTTGCAAGTCTCTGATCTGTATATCTTCAGTGGATGAGTTGACTCTCGTCTGTAATTCCTTGACTTGCTCAAGAGTTTGAACAACTTTCCGTGGATTGATCAGCTCCAAGATGAAAGGCCGACCTACGGGAAATCATTGAAAACTGATATCTTCTTTCCTTGATCGCTACTTCCACTGGTTCAGTTCTTTTGATTCAAGGCAGTCCGTCTCTAAGCGGACTGTTCACTGGTTCAAATTCATTAGTTTAACTGTTTAATGCTGGATCAAAGTGGAGAGAAAAACTGAAATCTTTACCATTGCCTAGCATTTGTACATCCACGTCTTCACGACCAGCTGATGAAAACTTTGAAGCTGAAAACAATTCATAATTCTTTCTAGCAAGAAATGGTACAACCCAAAAACTTTTATTTCATCAAAGGCATGCAGACAGCCAAACACTTAGTGTAAATTCAGGAACATCGCTCACTGTTTGGTAAAAAAACTTTCTTAATTTCCTCCGCTACGAGCTCCTAAAGTACAAAGTGGTAGAAATAAAGATCAGATGAGGAGAGTGTCTTTCCATATTTGAAGCAGGTTTTTACGTTCCAAGGAAGAAAATTACCAACTTCAACTGAATGTTCTGTCATTCTCTCGCCGTTCACTATCCACGGTGATTGTGATAATGTTCGCGAGTACTTGTTATAACGACCTGAAAAGCAAATGAGAAACGTAAGAGGTAAAAATTTAGAGGCTAAGTGAAGATTTCCTGGGAGCTGTTTGAGTCGAAAATATTTTACGTTGACGAAGACATATTTGAGGAAATTATGAGCTTTGTTCTTTGCTCAACTTTGAGATATCTACGTTTATGTAAAATGCCCAAAAGTTACGACGCGAATTTCTGTAACATGCATGGATCTGAGCATGGCCGGAAACCAGTCTGTAGATACGAACCTGCAAGGAATACCGATGCGTTCGAGCATTCGACTTTTGTAAGTTCACAGTATGTTTCAACCATTGCAGGTGGACACTTGCCAACTCTAGTCAAAACAAAGAGATAAAATAAAATGGTGAGGCAATGTTGACTGAACTTGGAATCTTGCTTTGAACTACAGATTTGAATTTAATTGTATAATTTTCAAAGGACAAATCAAACTAGAGAAATATTTTTCAATTGTAACAATGTAAATGTACAGAAATTGGGTAAGTAATTCAGTCTGCAAACATACTCATTGAATTCCTCGCTAGTTTTGAGTGTCTGAATGCAATTCATGAGCTGAGTGGAGGTAACTGTAGGTTCATTCTCCGAAACCTGTAAGAGTATTATCAAATACACACAATTGAGACCTCATGCATAAAAAGAGAAAATTCAATTCATCCAATACCTTCGTTCTTTTCCTTGGGTGACATTTGAAAACTTTTTTGGTATTTGTCCTAAAACAGGTGAATATCACGAAAATGCAACTGGCCTACATTAAGTCATGCAATAATGTGAGCTCGAGTCTCTGGATCAGCTGACACTGCAGCTCAGTATTAAAATGTTGGTGATACTCACAGAAAGTCCAGTTCTTTCATGGCTTCAGGGTGATCAAGGGTTATGGTAATTGTGAATGGACTCTAGAGATATAATCAAAGATTCCAGGCTTCTGTGAGTCGTATATAAAGATATAGTTGGGGTGAAAAGTTTTTTTCTGTATAACTTCATTACCTTTTTATTGAATTCTACATCCAAGACCTGCTCGATTTGAGGGCCCCAAACAAATTTGAGGCATTCTTTGAGACGAAGAATATCCTCAAGCACTATCTCTTCTGAGTAGCATGAACTATGAAAAATAGCCTCAGCTCAATACTTTCACATGGTTTTACAGACAGATG